TGGGCAGGTTTCATTCATTGTTGACTAAACCATACTAAGCATAGTGATATAATTTTCATGTCCTCCCTTTAAATCCTGTCTTTGCATTTTTCAGGCCATCGACACAAGAGATGCTTTGTCAAAGTCAATTTATGCATGTTTGTTTGAGTGGTTGGTTGAACAAATTAACAAATCACTTGCAGTAGGAAAACGGCGTACTGGCAGATCTATCAGCATTCTTGATATCTATGGTTTTGAATCATTTGATGTATGTTTTCTTTATGCTTTAATTGGATCTCTTTTTGTGTATTATATTTTTTTAACTGAACATTTGTTCTTTTTTTTTTTCCCTGTAGAGAAATAGTTTTGAACAGTTCTGCATTAATTATGCAAATGAGAGATTGCAACAACACTTCAATCGTCACTTATTCAAGTTAGAGCAGGATGTAAGTTTCCCATTCTTATCATTCTAACTGTGAATTTAATAAAGACTTGTTTATTCTTTGCTTCCTCTGTTCCACAGGGTTTCATCAAGTTCTAATTAGATATTTATTGCTTCCACAGAATTTCATTAGACTAGAAAACCATGATTCGCAGTGCCAGTGCCTATTTAAAAGCAACCATGCCATCACAATTATATTTACCACTTTAGTTCATCAAGTAATAATTTAAAGCAAACAAGATATAGGGAGGTGAAGGAACCAAGATACGTTATTAAACCAATGATAAGTACATAATGCTTGCCCTGCGTGAACCAAATTCTTAAATGATTCCTAATTTATCGGTACATTTGTGCTTGGACTGAATTAATTGCATGAAGAGTTAATTAGAGCAGAACGCATGCTTTATTTATTGACTACTATCTATTCCTGTCAGGAATATATCCAAGACGGAATTGATTGGAGAAAAGTTGAATTTGAAGACAACCAAGATTGTCTTGGTCTTTTCGAAAAGGTACTGAGCCTTTTCCCTTTCCTTCTGTTTACAGTTGTCTCTTGTTTAATGATGATAACCAATAAAGTTAGTGATGCTTGGGACCCTTGTCCCAATTAGTATATAGAACTAAATTTACAGTATGTGTGTCCCTGAACTTCTTGTGACATAAATGCAGAGACCGTTGGGATTACTGTCTCTGTTAGATGAGGAGTCCACCTTCCCAAATGGTACTGATTTGACCTTTGCCAACAAGCTCAAGCAACATCTGAGCTCTAATTCTTGTTTCAAAGGAGAACGAGGCAAATTGTTTGCTGTCAGTCATTACGCAGGAGAGGTACTCCTTTTGATTAATTGATTTTCGTTGTTTTATATTCTCGTTAATTGCTAGAGTGCAATAATATTTTAATCTTTTTTCTTCATAATTTCTACTGATTATATTAAAGCACAACTGGTAAAGAAAATGTCAGTGTACATTTCCAAGCCCAACCCACCCCTTTAACTCTGAATCAAGGCTCGGGTGCTAACAATTCTTCTATGCATTATCTCATAGTACTGAAAAAAGAATAAAGTAAAAGCTTTCTATTTTAACTTTTTCTTGCTGGCCTGACTGTTGATTGTTCGACTTGCTCCTCCACTCAGGTTTCATATGACACAACAGGATTTTTGGAAAAGAACAGGGACTTGCTGCATTTAGATTCTATTCAGCTTCTTTCCTCATGCTCATGCCACCTTCCTCAGATATTTGCATCTAGTATGCTTAATCGACCTGAGAAGCCTTTAGTTGGTCCCTTGTATAAAGTAAGTGGTGGAGTAGACTCCCAGAAGCTGAGTGTTGCAACAAAATTTAAGGTATGCTGCTTTCCTGTTTTTAAGAACATGACTTTGAATTTAACAAAGATTATAATTGTGATAAGATACAGAAGTAACTATCTGCTAACTGTATTCTTTCAATTAACTTATTTGTGTTGGTATTTAGAGTCAATTGTTCCTATTGATGAAACGTCTAGAAAACACCACTCCACATTTCATACGTTGTATCAAGCCCAACAATCTTCAATCCCCTGGACTATATGAGCAAGGACTTGTACTGCAGCAGCTGAGATGTTGTGGAGTTCTAGAAGTGGTTCGAATATCAAGATCTGGCTTTCCTACCAGAATGTCACACCAGAAGTTTGCAAGAAGGCAACACAATATATCTTTACTTCTGTTTCGTCTTTCAAATACCTTATACCTGTCTCGAGTATCTTATCATTTTTGTTTGCTTTGTCATTGTTGAACCTTGCATCAGATATGGTTTTCTTCTGCTGGAGAATGTTGCATCGCAGGATCCTCTTAGTGTTTCAGTTGCTATTCTTCATCAGTTCAACATATTACCAGAGATGTATCAAGTGGGCTATACAAAGTTATTTTTCCGAACTGGACAGGTAAATTGATGTATTGCGTTTGAGGAAAGGAAAATGAATATGCTACCTGTTTGGGACAGTCAAACTAGTGCATTTGGGTAGAGATAAGACTATTGTATGGCTATGCTTTTATCATGCCTAGGTTCCAACACTTTTAATGCATATATTTGAATATTGTCCACTGTTAGACATTTTGATGTGTTTAAATCTACATACAAGATTTGACCAATCTAAAAACCTGACTAAAATCATTGGTTGTGTCAGCTGTTGGGAACATCTTTCATACATGTTAATCTTTACTGAGATCAAAGTGGTGGAAATTTGATGCAGATTGGGGTGCTTGAGGACACCAGAAACCGTACACTCCATGGTATTTTACGTGTTCAAAGCTGCTTTAGAGGACACCAAGCTCGGTGTTACCTCAAGGAGCTGAGGAGAGGAATCACCACTCTCCAGTCATGTATTAACCTGCTCATTGTTTATTTTGGTGAACTATCAAATTTTATCAAGAAGCATTTGGGTATTTATTGTAATTTACTTAATGCAGTTATCAGGGGACAGAAAACCAGGAAGGAGTACTCAATATTACTAGAGAGGCATAGAGCTGCTGTTGTCATACAAAAGCAGGTGAAAAGCAGGTTTGCAAGGAAGAAATTCAACAACATTTATGATGCATCAATCGTGATACAATCAGGTATAATAGCTTGGTTCTTCAATCCTGTTGAACTTGTGCAGACTTTGTGAACATGTTAAAGGTTAAGCAGTCCATACTACGCAACATCTATATATTTGATAATTTTGTCTAAGTTTAAGCTATCTTTGCAGTTCTTCGTGGCTGGTTGGTCAGAAGATGCTCAGGAAGTATAGGATTGTTGAAGCCCGGAAGCACGAAGGTAGTCCTATACACTTCTGTTTATTCTAGCTTCTCATTACCTCATTATGGCCTTTGCACCTACATTATAATGTTTGTATCTTTCAAATTTTTGGTATTGCCCATCTTATATGGATTTTATTTGCACGCTGTCCGGTAATGAGCCTCATAATAGCTTTCATCAGGTTCAATTACTGCTGTGTGGTGTGAGTGCCATAAATGTTGTTTGAGAATTTGTGTTGTTTGTGCAAGCACTATCACCAATTCGTACTATATTTTCTGTTTGATGGCACGGAATCCACCATTTGTTTATGGGAATAATTAACTGTTAGAATCTGAAACAGGCTAACGAGTCAGATGATGTGCTGGTAAAGGCATCTTTCCTTGCTGAATTACAGCGCCGCGTTCTTAAGGCTGAAGCTGGCCTGCGAGAGAAGGAAGAGGAGAATGACATCCTCCACCAACGTCTCCAACAGTATGAGAGCCGTTGGTCGGAATATGAGCTGAAAATGAAATCCATGGAAGAAGTATGGCAGAAACAAATGAGATCCCTACAATCCAGCCTCTCAATTGCAAAGAAGAGCTTAGCCATTGATGATTCCGAGAGAAATTCTGATGCATCAGTGAATGCAAGTGATGACCGTGAGTACAGTTGGGATACAGGAAGTAACCATAGAGGCCAAGATAGCAATGGGGTGAGACCAATGAGTGCAGGTTTGAGCGTCATAAGCCGGTTAACTGAAGAGTTTGATCAGAGGAGTCAAGTTTTTGGCGACGATGCCAAGTTCTTGGTGGAGGTAAAGTCTGGTCAAGTGGAAGCGAGTCTGAATCCAGACCGAGAGCTAAGAAGGTTGAAGCAGATGTTTGAGGCTTGGAAGAAGGATTACGGGACAAGACTAAGGGAGACAAAGGTGATTTTGCATAAGATTGGAAATGAAGAGGGAGGCAGTGCTGACAGGGTGAAAAAGAAGTGGTGGGGAAGGCGGAACAGCTCGAGGATTAATTAAGTAATAGAATTATTCTGTTGGTGTTGGGTTAGCTGTGTTGTTGTTTATGGTAAACCCCCTTCTTTTTTATCGGCGAGGAATGGGTTGCTGCATGGAAACTGTGACAAAGGTTTTGCTGTTGCAAGGGATTTGGTGCTTAGTTAATTTGTAGGGCTGGGCTGAGCTGCTAGTTACTCCAATATGTATGTTACGAGTATGTATATGTTTTCTTATTTATAGTGCAGGTTCGATTTTCTACATTAACGAACGAACGAATCGAATGAATTCAATCTTTGATATTGCCACAATGTATGGAATGTTGTTATTCTTATAGGAACTTTATATGGCAGACTATGTAAAGGCAATAGAGAGAGAGAGAGAGAGAGAGAGTGTTCCTTGCACTCTGGGATACCACTGGACCAATGATACAATGTTATGTGGGGAATTTAACACATTACATTGTTTCATTGGTTTGAATATCACAGTAGCATTCCAGGGTGTAGGAAAGTCTCCTCCCGAAAAGAGCAGGGACGGAGAGGCCATGGCTGGCTGCTAAAACCAAAGGAACTAGTCCAAATTTTGATGACAACGTACAGGTCGACAAAGTAAGTCTCCTTCCTTGCGTCTTGCTCCACTTCCTTACCAACAAACGCCACGTTTTCGTCCCAAGAAAATTAACCAGCGAATTCAGAAGAGGAGAGGAAATAAATTCAATTAGAACCTGACCGCAGGATTTTAATCAAACGGCCAAGATGACTTGGTCCGCAGGATCCTGAGACACAGATCCGGAGACGATCTGAATCCGGAAAGCCCAACACAAGTAACAAAGACAGAGGAGGCTTGTTTTGCGTGTGGGTGAGTTGTGAGGCTGCGTCGGCAAATAATGTTGAGTGGTGGTGGTGGCTGCTCTCGTCTTTCCACTCGACTTCGAGACTCCAACATCAACCGGCTCCACCTCAACCTCCACCGCCCGCAGCTTGGCTTCGGCTTCGGCTTCGTCTTTGTCTTGGGCTTAGGGTCTTACAACACCAGAATCGCCCACCGCCGCCGCTGCCCCTGCCCTCCACCTCTCAAACCCCTATCCTTATCGTCTGCCGTCCCTCACTCTCACTCTCACACACAGACTCACACAAGGGGGTTTCCTTTTTCCTCCATCCTTCCTTGTTCTAAGTTGTCCTCCTCCAACATTACCGCCCTCTCCCATTGTTTTAGGTACTCCACTCTCCTCAACTACTTGTCCCTCCCCTTTCCCGTTTGTTTTATTTCTCCTTTGGGTTTAGTTATAAATCCATTCAATTATGCAATTCAGCGTTCATTGTACTTGTGATTGAATTTGTCTTATTCCTTTATTTTCCATTTGATTGCCTTATCGTTTTCCTGCTACAACTTGATCGTATGTTAAAATCTTATATTGTCATCATTCATTTTGGTTTAGAATTACACTGCAGGAATTAACATGAGTGAATTGATTCAATTTTTCTTATGATGGTTTCAATGTTGATTACTTTAGCCAACGAGAAGATGAACGCGAGCTTCCCCACGAAGGATTGCCCTCTGTCGCAGGTTTCATCCCACCTCTACTCTCCCTTTTTTGCTTTCTCAGCAACATTTTCTTATCACGTTATATATACAAGCTTGTTCCTTAGTTTGGCATTTGTATGCAATATATAATTCTTTAATATCCATAAGAATTTTGTTAGCATCTTATGTGCCAGAATTCCTTTCAGCTGCTTCTTCAAGCACCAATGCGGTATATTGCGATTTGTGATTCTTCTACACTGTGACACGTCTTTTAGTGTATCTGGTGAGCTAGCTGCTTTAGAGATACCGATTTTCAAGAGGAGAGCAAACCTTCTAAGACAACCAGTCATTTAAACAACTTCTGAGCAAACTAGGGGAAAGAAACTGTCCACAAAATTGGAAAAGCTAATTTCCTATACTGACATTGAACACTTATAGTTTATAGTTTATGGATTAAGAAAACTTCCAAGTTCCTTTATTGGGTCTTCCCTCACAGGTTATGAATCTGTACCTTTAGTTGTTTTCTGCATATCACCTAGTATCCTCCTGCACAAGGCTTTCCGTTTGTTCTTTATATATTAACTTATTTGGTGCACTGTCTGTATTAATCTTAAGATACACAACTTAGTTCTCTTTTGTTATCATTCCCAGGAGGAATAGTCGCACTGGGAAAATTCGATGCCCTTCACATTGGTCATCGAGAACTTGCGATTCAAGCATCCAAAGTCGGACCTCCGTTCCTTTTGTCATTTGTTGGAATGGCTGAAGTACTGGGTTGGGAACCAAGGTATTGTCATTTGTTGTTGTGATATGAGCTGCACATTGGAACTCAATTTCCTTGTTTGGGTGGTTATAGTTTCAAATAGAAATTCAAGCTTTGTTAAATGAACCTAATTATATTCTTGTAAAAAAAACCAATTGAACAGAGCTCCCATAGTTGCGAAATGTGATCGCAAACGGGTTCTTTCCTCTTGGGCCCCGTACTGTGGTGACATGGCACCTGCAGAGTTTCAGATTGAATTTTCAAGTGTTCGACGTCTAACACCAAGGCAATTTGTTGAGAAATTAGTGAAAGAGCTTGGAGTGCGTGGGGTTGTTGCAGGTAAGTTAATTTAACGAAATCCATTATGTTTCTTGGTATGAGTCAAAAACACACCCTTGATCATATATTTTGAAGTTTGAAATGGATTTTGCAATGACTGATTGTGGCAGGTGAAAACTACCGATTTGGATACAAAGCTGCGGGTGATGCGACAGAGCTGGTGAGGTTGTGTGAAGAGTATGGCATTGAGGCATATATCATAAATTCTGTTATGGACAAGAACGAATACTCCATAAATATACAGTCGAGTGATTTGAAAGACAGAGGACAAGTCTCCTCTACTCGCGTTCGCCGTGCCCTAGCTGTGGGAGATATGAAGTATGTCTCACAACTGTTGGGTCGGCAGCATCGTCTGATAATGAGTACTGCAAAGGACCAGGAAGGATTTGCTGGCAGCAAACACAAGTTGTCAGTTCCAAAGTCTGGTTTGTTAAATCTGGCTCCAAAGGAGGGTCTATACGAGAAGTGTTATCTTTGTAGTGGGGAGGATGATGACCTAGCATCATCCTGCAGGGTGGTGGTTGACACGGGGTACGTCCATATAGAAATGGATGATGAGGTAGACGTAGGCGTATGTAATAGAGTTGGTACACAGGACTTGAGGCTCTTACGTATTGAATTTGGTGATTCGCAATCTTGAGTATGTTTAAATGATTTGATTTTCATTTCGTCTCTTTTAAAAGAAGTTGGCTGAAATATTTCATCCTTGTCCGAAAAAGAGTGAATGGCAAACACATGATGAGAGAGAATAATACGGGGATATATGTGCAGCTTTACAATGTATCATTTTTACGTTAAGGTATGGGGCTCGAGGTTGAGGATTGGGTACAGAAAGGTTTTACATTTCTGGTTGTGCTACATCATGATGGATTCATTGATGATGGGTGTACATGTGGTGCAACGAGAATGACTCGAATTTTGGCTTATAATGATTCTTATACAAATTCTCAAAATCAATTGGGAAATGTGGGTTATAACTCACAGCTTTTGTGAAAAGAAAAAAAAATTGAGATTTTTAGTTTTAGAAAATATTTTGCGTGGGAGTTAGGGGAAATATTGCAAGACTTTTGAAGGTTCAAATTAATTTTAAGTAACATATGATGCAACGAGAAGGACTCGAATTTTTGCTTACATGGGTTATAACTCACTTTTTGTGAAAAAATTGAAATTTTTAGTTTTAGGAAATATTTTGCGTGGAAATTAAGGAAAATATTGCAACACTTCTAAATGTGATTCTACCATATATCAGGGTCCGAAACTATTTTTTATTGATTCTTAAAGTCAAAAAAAAGAAAAATAAATATAATTTAATAGAGCGCCCCCACCCGAATATATTTTTATGTGTTTTGAATGTAGTAAAATTAATTTTAAGAAACATACAATGTGACAAGAAGGACTCGAATTTTCACTTATAATGATTCTTGTAAAAACTCCCAAATATATTGGAAAACGTGGGTTACAACTCACAATTTTTATGAAAAAATTAAAATTTTTAGTTTTAGGAAATATTTTTCGTGGAAGTTAAGGAAAATGTTGCAAGACGTTTGATTGTGATTCTACCATCATTTAGGTCCCGAAACTACTTTTTATTGATTTTAAAGCTAAAAAATTTAAAATTTAAAAATTTAAAACTAAAAATTTAAAATTTAAAATTAAATATAAACTAATAGAGCGCCCCCAGTTCCGAATATATTTTTTTGGGTCGACAATGTTAAGAATGTCCTAAAATTAATTTTAGGAAACATATTATGGGACTAGAATGTGATATCCCGTCCCGAAAATATCGAAACGTACATGTGAAATGACCACTTTGCCCCTTAGTTAGTTCGTTTATGTTATTGGTTGTTTGTATGCCTTGTTGGCATGTTTGGAATCACACACACACCCACAGCCATACACTCCACCTGCTCCTGTCCCTTTCCCTGTCTCTCTTTCTCCCGAGTCCTCTATCTTTCTTCTTCTTCCTTCACACTCGTACGGACACACACACAACTACAACAATCGTCACAGATCAAGGAAACCAAGGGCATAGTCGTGATCGTGAGGTCGAGGGGAACACGATCATAGCATTTTCAGGTGAGAAACCAGTCGTTTTCACGTCGATTTCGCAAGCTCCAATTTGAGCACTATTCATGCAAACTTATTCTAGCATGTTTTTGGACTTTTGAAGTTTGTAGATGTGTTGGTGAGGTCCCAAGGAGCTTGGGAGTGTATCGTTGGACGGAAGTGGACGTCAGAATAGCCTGGTTCGAGTTTGGCCGGTTATGGAATTTTCGGACAGGTATAATCTTATAGTTCTAGACCTTAAAACTTGTTGGGACATGTTCTACTAGTTCTAAGGTTTAATTTGGTGCAAGAAACGTGAAAAATGGTGGAAAAACGAGCGAGAAAACGTCGATTGCAGGTTTTCCAGTTTCCGGTGCCGGCGACGGCGCCGGAGATTGATCGGAGAAGGAGACGGAATATTCCGTCAATTCTGACGGAATATTCCTGACGCCGTTAACGGAATCTGTTAACTTTGACGGAATATTCCTGACGGCGTCAGTTGACGCCGTCAGCGTGCAAGGCACGTGCCTGCGCGTGGCCGGCGCGTGCGGCGGTGGAAATTTTTTCTAAAAATATGGTTGTGATCCTGAGATTGTGTAGAGCACGTGGGTATATTCAATTGTCCATTTTGAGCAATGTATGAGAAGTTATTTTGAACGGAAGGTTAGGTGCTTTAAAATTAACGTTTTTATAGTATTTTCGCATATATGTGACACGTATCCCGAGGACGAGCGTGCTCGCGCGAGGCAGGGGGGCTACGACCCTTCCACGTACCAGTGAGTGGGCTTTTGTTTTCCGTATATACCTATATACTTATAATTCCCAGAAATTTTATATAAATGCTTACCAGTTATATGCCATTCCTTTTACGTTATTGGTTGATATGCATGGTTAGTGGCATGTATGATGGTTTACATATTCATTCATATGTCATATATATATATATATTGGTGCTGTGGAGGCACAGGTAAGTGCCAGGTAAGTATTATTTAACATTTGCATTAAATAGTGATTAGAGGTGCTTAGAGAGCTCATAACTTACACCCCTGGTGTTAGTGCTCCCGCCCAGAGTAGGGCACAGTCCTTCACGTGTCGTTCACCTCCCGCACCATACACTCAGCTTGGATCCAAGTTAGGTGCACAGTCTTGTCGTACAGACCACTATAGGTGGTTCCGACTCGTAGGTGACTCGCGATTATTCGCACAGCCTTCACGTGATTGTAGCACTAGAACGTTTATATGTATTACACCCAGGCCTGTCGTACAGACCACTAAAGGTGGTTCCGACTCGTGGGCAGGTTGAGTTATTGAGATTGAGATTTGAGCTCTAAATGCAGCCGTACAGGTCACGTTAGGTGACTCCGGCTGCCAGACTATATATTATTGATACGGTTTATAACTGAGCACTTGCATATCGTTATGAGGTTCCGATATGGCATATTCTTAAGCATGATTGGCATATTTATACCTACGTACATATGTTTATTTTCTGGGAAGTATACAGGTTTTACGGCGAGGGGTTAGAATATTGTTTTTGAAAAGATTTTCGAAAAGCTTTGTTTTTGCCCACTCACACTTTTGTTTTGCGCCCCTCCAGGTTTTAGTGAGCTAGCAGGTTCGGTGGTTTCCCAGAGGGCTTTCCGGCGATTCTGACAGACACGCACCAATGTAGGGTCACCTCGGGTGCACTGTTATCGTATTATGTTAATTTGGACTGCTGTAGACTCAATGCTCTGAACTTAGCGGTTCACTCGCACTAGCACTCTTTACTTTGACCTTATGTATGCTGGTTTTTAATTAATCGTACTTTTATATCATTACCTTTTTAGCTTCCGCACTGTGCACATGGCTACGTCACTTGCACGTGACGGCCAGCACGCCCAGATCTCGGTCGGGGTGTGTCATAGAAAGACTCGAATTTTCACATATAATGACCCTTGTAAAAATTCTCAAATCGATTGGAAAACATGAGTTATAGGAAATATTTTGCATGGAAGTGAAGGAAAGCGTTGCATGATTTATGAATGTGATTCTACCATCAATAAGGCTCCAAAACTATTTTTTATTGATTTTAAAAGTTAAAAAATAGAAAAAATAAATATAGGTTGATAGACCACCCCTACCCCCCCCCCCCCAACTCCCCCCAAAAAAAAAACAAATATATTTGTATGTGTCGAAAATATTCTGAATGTCCTAAAATTAATTTTATGAAACATATGATGGGACAAAAATGACTCAAATTTTCACTTTGAATGATTCTTCGAAAAAAAATTCAAAATCTATTGGAGAACGTGGGCTCACAATGTTTGTGAAAAAAATTGAATTTTTTTGTTTTAGAAAATATTTTGTGTGGAAGTTAAGGAAAATGTCCAATACTTATAAATGTGATTCTACCATCTATCAAGATCCAAAACTATTTTTATTGATTTTTAAAGTTAAAAAATAGAAAAATGAATATAATTTAATAGAGCGCCCATGCTTGAATATATTTTTATGTATTGAAAATGTTCAAAATATACTAAAAGTAATTTTAAGAAACATAAAATCGACGAGAAAAACTTGAAATTTGATTTATAATGATTTTGTAAAAATTCCCAAATTGATTGGAACTCAGTTTTTGGAAATATTTTGTGTGGAAGTTAAGGAAAAAGTTGCAAGACTTTTGAATGTGATTCTACCACCTATTAAGTCCCGAAACTATAAAGTTAAAAAATTAAAAAATAAATATAAACTAATAGAGCGCCCCCCCACCCCGCCAAAAATATATTTTATGTGTCAAGAATGTTAAAAATGTCCTAAAATTAATTTTAGGAAATATATGATGCGACGAGAAGGACGTGAATTTTCACTTATAATGACTCTTGTAAAAATTCCCAAATCGATTGGAAAATGTGGGTTATAACTCCTTGTTTTTGTGAAAAAAAAAAAAAAGAAATTTTTAGTTTTAGGAAATATTTTGCATGGAAGTTAAGGAAAAAGTTGCAAGACTTATGAATGTGATTCGACCATATATCAAGGTTCGAAACTATTTTTTATTGATTTTCAAAGTTAAAAAATAATATATATATATATATATATATAATTCAATATAGTGCCCCCTCCCGAATATATGTTTATGTGTTGAAAATGTTCAGAATGTACTAAAATTAATTTTAAGAAACATATGATGCAAAGAGAAGGACTTGAATTTTCACTTATAGTGATTTTGTTAAAAATTCTCAAATCGATTGGAAAATGTGGGTTATAACTCACAATTTATGTGAAAAAATTGAAATTTTAGTTTTAGGAAATATTTTTCATGGAAGTTAAGGAAAATATTGCAATACTTTTGATTGCGATTCTACTATCTACTATGTCCCGAAACTATTTTTTATTGATTTTTAATGTTAAAAAAATGTATACATAAAAACTAATAGAGCACCCCTTTTCGAATATATTTTTATGTGTTGAAAATGTCCATAATATACTAAAATTAAATTTAGAAACATATGATGCGACGAGAATGACTCGAATTTTCACTTATGATGATTCTTGTAAAAATTCCTAAATATATTGGAAAAGTGGGTTATAACTCATACTTTTTGTGAAAAATTTGAAATTTTTAGTTATAGGAAATATTTTGCATGGAAGTTAAGGAAGTTGTTGCAAGACTTTTAATTGTGATCCTACCAGCCATAAGTCCCGAAACAATTTTTATTGAAATTTCAATTAAAAAAATATATAATAGAGTCCCCCATCTAAAAAGACACTTAGACACTTAAGTTAAAACGTGCAAGACTTTTGAATGTGATTCTACCACATATTAGTTTCGAAACTATTTTGTATTGATTTTTAAAGTTAAAAAAATTAAAAAATAAATATAAACTAATAGAGCACCCCCTCAAAATATATTTTTGTGTCAAAAATGTTTAAAATGTCCTAAAATTAATTTTAGGAAACATATGATGCGATGAGAAGGACGTGAATTTTCACTTATAATGACTCTTGTAAAAATTCTCAAATCGATTGGAAAACGTGGGTTATAACTCCCTGTTTTTGTGAAGAAAAAAAAAATTAGTTTTAGGAAATATTTTGCGTGGATGTTAAGGAAAATGTTGCAACACTTATGAATGTGATTCGACCATATATTAGGGTCATAAATTAATTTTTATTGATTTTCAAAGTTAAATTTTTTTTAAAAAAATTAATTCCCCTCCCGAATATATGTTTATGTGTCAAAAATGTTCAGAATGTACTAAAATTAATTTTAAGAAACATATGATGCAAAGAGAAGGGCTAGAATTTTCACTTATAATGATTATGTTAAAAATTCTCAAGTCTATTGGAAAATGTGGGTTATAACTCATAGTTTCTGTGAAAAAATTGAATTTTTGGCTTTAGGAAATATTTTGTGTGGAAGTTAAGGAAAATATTGCAAGACTTTTGATTGCGATTCTACTATATACTAGGTCCCAAAACTATTTTTTATTTATTTTTAAAGTTAAAAAAGTATAAACTAATAAAGCGCCCCTTCCCGAATATATTTTTTTGTGTCAAAAATGTCCATAGAGTACTAAAATTAAATTTAGGAAACATATGATGTGACGAGAAGGACTCAAATTTTCACTTATGATGATTCTAGTAAAAATACCCAAATCGATTGGAAAACGTATTGGTCTGCTGAGTTTCCTGTGTGGCTCGTCAAGAGCTGTTTGGGTTTGTTGTGCAAATTATCTGTTTTTTGAGTTTTTCTGGGTTCCTGGTTTTTTCGTTACAATCTTAGATGATTAGTGTTTGGATGAGTATGTTATCTAATTATTGACCTTGTGTAGGTCTGGGCTTCTGGTTTTTCTGCAGCCTTTCTGAAAAAGCGTAGTGTAGCGGCAAAAGGAACCGTAGACTCAAATGAGTCAGGGATGGATGCTTTGGTTGGCAGCAATATTGGAGTAGTGGCACCCAAACCTGCAGTAACTGAAGCAGCTTTGCTAGTAGTTTTGGAGAAGTTCTTTGGGGTGGTTTTGAAGCTTCCTACAGTGAACAGGTTGTCTATTTTCTTCATCCTCGCCCTTTTATTTTTGTAGAATTATCCGAGGTGGTTGTGAATCTTGTTGCACCTTCCTATGCTACACATTTCCCCTTATACTTGAATTCATTCACCTCACCTGTGTTTTATAATCCTAGAAGAACATTTGTAGAAGCAAGCAATATGTGAAATTAGTATTGGGAAGAGTTTTTCTCTCCTTGTATGAAAAGTAGTATTATATGGATCTTATTGTTGGTATTGTAGGAGGCTTTCTGATGTGTTGAGCCTATTGTCAGCGCGACAACCAAGTTGTCCGCAATTGTATATCTACAGCTCTGCAGACAGGGCGATTCCTGCCGGGTCGGTGGAATCATTTATAAAGGAGCAAAGGAGGGCTGGACATGGGGTAAGGGCTTGCAACTTTGTGTCGACGCCTCATGTTGATCATTTCAGAAACGACCCGAAACTGTACAGTTGTGAGCTAACCCAGTTTCTGGAGGACTGCGTGCTTACTTGTTACAAACAGTTGCGTTGATTGATGTAATGTTTTTAGTCGTGTGTTTACACAGCATATCTGATTAATTGATTGGTGTAGAGGTTGTTGGATGCAAGAGGGTTTTAGACCACTCATTTTTCTGTCGAAGGTTGTTGACATCACATGTTACGGACAAATATACAATCAGATTAGCCATATGTCAATGTGCATGGAAGACTTGCACGTGAAACAACCACCAAAACAAGGAGACAAAATTATGATCGAAACATGGTTAATCTCTCGTACTAAAGCTATTCTCTATTCGATGAGTGTTGTTAGGGTTGTAGGCATGGCTATTTCAGCAATGGTAAAAGGATGAATAAATTCCTAAATGAAAAAGTGAGTGTGTTTAGTTAAGTTTAAACTTGTGAGTATTTTTAATTTTAGTATGTAAATATTGAGTATGAAGTGAAATAATCATCGGGTGTGTTTTGTAATCGTCATATACCATTAAAATTTAAGAGAAAATTTTATAAAACGATAATAAGATCAACGATGCTTTACAAAATGTTGGACACATGCGAAAAATAGTGTAGTGAAGATAAGAATGCTTTGCTAAATGTGTGAGATAGGATTAAGAGGTAAATCTCAGTTTACTATCCTCAAATTTCGTGGTTTTCAACATTTAGTACATGAAGTTTTTGTGGTCCCAGAGTCAAACCTAAATGTTAATTTTGAAACAATCTTTCAAAAACTATTAAAATAATTAATTAAATAAAAGTGTAAAAAAACAAAAAAGAGCGCAGAACCCCTTCGTCTTCCCCATGTCCCCCACCGCCACCCTTAATTTCAACCTCAACCATCACGATGCTGTTGACCCCAACGAATCAGACTAGCTCCAGTTCCCAAGCAGCACACAGAGAAGTACTTCCTGCTCGGCAATGGCGACTTGGGCCTTTTGTTGAGTTTCGAGGACGACTCGGACCTCTTAGGGAGAGCTTAACCTGCGAAACGTACATCCACTGGACCAAGGAGAAGGCGGTGCTGATCACTGCGCATAGCGGAATCAAAATCTCCGCCCCGAGACCTGGGAGTATCGTTGCCCCCATAGCTTTGAGATCTCCGCCCCGAGATCTGAGAGTATCACCGCACACAGTTGATCACCGCTCCTTCGAGCTCATGGGGCCGTCGAAGAGGATGAGGGTTGAGTAGGTGGAGTCGAAGAGGGAGGGGGAAGGATGGATGTGCAGAGGTTGGGTAGGTGCAGAGGAGAGGAGAGGGAGGGGGGTCAGGGGTTTGAGGAAGAAGACTTTTTTTTTTTTTTTTTTTTACGTGGAACCTTTATTGACATGTGACGCTCAGTCAATGTCTATATAGGTGCGACTGAGACTTAACAGCCAGACTAACGAATGTATGAGATTGTTATAAAATTAACATTTTAGGCATGATTTTAGGATAAAAAAACTTTATGTACTAAATGTTAAAAACCGCAAAACTTAAGGATAGTAAATTAAAATTTACCCTACTACTATATTACATGTAGGTACTTATTATCAAATTTTAAAGCTGGTAAATTGAAAAGTCAATTTAAAATACTAACCCGGTCTAGAAAATCACTCAAATTCCACATTTTATTAATTAAAAGTAAATCAATAACAAAATATAATTAAAGAGGATTTTGATTTTGATTTTGATTTCGATTTCGATTTTTGTCTATACGAAAGAGGCCACGTGGTTTTCAAAGAAAAGAGAATTTTCTCATTAATCAGAAAGAAAGAAAGAGAACAATATTTATACATGGTTAGTTAACGGTCTTGAGCTCCTCCTCCCCCTCCTCCTCCTCCTCCTCTCCTAGCTTAATTTGCATAACTAATTACAACTTGATAACGTGTACGTAATTAGTTAAGCTTGAGATGAAATATTAATAGCCTGCTGGAGATATTTCAAAGTTTTCTGGTAATTCAAGAACCCCATAAACCAGAAGTCAAAATCATCCGCAGTAACTATTTCTACGTACTTTTGCGACGGCTTCTTCGTGTTCTCGCTCTGGTTGACCGCCTTGATCTTCTTCACTGGGATCACCACCTTGTAGTGGACTCTGCTGACCAGCTGTTGTCCGTCTGAATCTGACGATGGAAGTTTGATCGATCTCTCGCTGCAAAACGCAATCTTGTCGGTCGAGATGAAGAGGAGGCCTGCCATAGGACCCGCCGTGGTCGACAGATAACACTGGGATGCCTTGAGCAGCTTCTCTCCTGCCTTAACGCTGAATGCGTGCTTGAACACCTCTAACGTCCCTCCTGCTTTTACAATCTTAGCCCCCAGCCTCAGCTTCCCCTTCACTGTCTCTGTGATCTTGGGCCCTAGTCTCACTTCACAGTGAATCAAATAATAATAATTATGTGACTCAACTTCTCTTAATTTCTCAATTAGTATAAACAGCGAGGTGCAATAAAGTTATTTAGTGAAATTGAATCAGAAGTCGTCTGCGCTGCTCACCATGTTCTTTGACTCCATGGGCAAAACTGTCAGCCTTGTTGGTAAGCTTGTTCATCCTGTTAAGCACTGAATACAGTCTGCTTTGTCTGATAAGCTTTGAAGGTTCAGTAGCATCACTAGGAGCCGGTGCTGGAATATTATGATGATATTGGATAGCAGCACCATGATCTGCACTCTTAAACGCGTACGCAGCTGCGGAGTTGATTGGAATTCCTATAACTTGTCCTTGAAGTGAGGCCTTCATATTTGATGATGATGAGTAACTATCTAGCTAGGATTAATTGTAAGTCAATTAGAATAAGAAGAACAATTGATGAGCCTGCCTATGAGGAGATGGATGGAGACTTAATTGGTGATTCTTGTGGTTGTGTGAGCATTATATTATGTTATATATATAACGGGGTGGAAAATAGTAATAGGTGGGTGGGGGCTCGGGCCCTCGGGGTGGGGGTGAATGAATCTTTAACTTTTGGTTGCATGAGTCATGTATGGCTCATCAGTGAGAACAAAGGCACGACTACACGCACGCAGAGAGTCGACCGACTCTTTTTTAAAGATATAAATCATCTCTTCATTTTTAAAAGATAATGGCATTGGCATGTTATCTTCGATCGGCTGTTTGCTTTAAGAAAAGACATTTTAGCAATAAGATTAATATATATATATATATATATGTATGTATGTATGTTGTGCATACGACTCCAAAAAACTTGAAAGAAATAAGATTGTTTGTTGTCTGGTCCACCTTGTTTGTCTGAGTTGTTGTATATTTTGCTATATTTCCAAATCAGCACAAGCATTACAACAAGCAGGAAAAGGAAGACAGAGAAAGTGAGAAAGACTAAAGAATAAAAACAAGCATAGATTAACACGCATCTATCATCCATGCCCGATGCATTTGCCGTCGTTTTTAGTTATTTAACTTTGCTCAAATATGATATTAATATAATATTGTAACCAACTGTATGAGGAGGAAGAGGAATTCAGATGTGTCAATGAGACCTTTTGAGCTGGACCTTTAGCTTTCTAATGCCAATGCCATTGCCATTTGCCACCCCCACACCCTGATTTCCTTTCCTCTCCTCTCCTTTCCTCTTCTAATATACAAATACACTACCTACCTACTACTAATACTACTAATTAAGTTAAGATGACGAAAAAGAAGGAAAAAAGCATTAGACTCTTGGTCACCAAATATGTACATGAGCCAAATCACATGGTATAAGACCAAGACTAAGGGACAAGTTGTCTCTTTCTAAGGTGTGTGATTCTACTATTAGTGATCGATGTTGGAGAATAATTCATCACTTTGTCCCCATCTATTAGAGATTACATCAAACTATTTATGCAAACGCATTGACTAGGTCAGTTTGTTAAAACAATTTTCTCATAACAGATTCATCAAAACTACCTCTCAAACCCAATTTCCTCAACGTGTATGTGTGTTATTTTCATCCCAAACCCAAGGGAACTCACAAAAATTGCAGTTGCAAGAAGAAGGTGGCTGGCGGCAGTTGGATAAGAGAAGCAAGAGGACCATCCACGTTGCACATATTCCATATTTAGTCAAGCGTTTGACTTGTGTAAAAGAGATATACAATGTCATGTCACTCGGACTCTGCTGATCGTGTAGTATCACAAATCGCATCTCCATCGACATGACAACTACAACTGTATAGCTGTGCAAGTGCTTATCTGGACGGACTTTGATGAATCGTCATCACCACCATGGCCAATTTGACATTTCTTTTCCTTTTAATCTAATTCAAAGACACCTTTTTTTTTTAATTTAATTTAATTTTATTTATCTTTGAACCGAAGCTTCTAATTCATTGGTCAATTCCCAGCAAAAATAAATTAAATAAAATAAAAGAGAGAACCGTGTGCTAGCTAAGCAATGGTCCAATCCATCCCCCGTTAGCAAAACAGTGTCCGTGTGGCCTAGGGACAAGTGGTTACTCTACCTTTTGTGCTTGTGATCTAAATCCATCATAACAAAGAAAAAAGGGGATGCACACGTCAAACACACATCACCTCCCCTTCTCTTTCCCCACATGTCCATTCTACTCTCCACTTTGGACTTATTTATATTAACCTTTTTGCACGCGGTACCGCATGTGAGCATGTGAGAAATACTTTTTACCTAAATGGCATAACAAATCTAATTTTACTATCCAATTGCTACCTCTTTTGGAGATTATCTGACTCCCATTTCACAAACTTTGGGCAATCACCATCACTAATTTATTTATGAATCCGGATCCTTGCCGGATCCTCTTTATGAGGATTATGAGGATATGTAAATCATATCTGTTATCGTACATCGTGTGGTCAGAAATCATTTTAAATATTTTTATTTAAAATTAAATACAAACAATACGGGATAAAAATTAACCACACAATGTACGATGAACAGATATAATTTACAAATCTCTAAAATTCTTACCGAAAGGATGAGAGAATCCTGTTGGTTTATTCGCGTAGCCATATCTGGCGCGGGCAGGACGATCTTGAACACAGTAAAAAGAAGACATTAAATAAACAAGTTTTTATAACAAAGACAATGCTAACATGTAAAAAGGGTTGCTGCCTAGAATGCTAACTAACTATTTCCATCATCAAATGTTTATGACCGACTGACCGACTGACTACTACACTTGTAGCTGCCCAATTGCCGATAAATAAAAGAGCATTGCTTTGCTACATCTCTTTCAGAATTTGCCTGTACAGAGATTCATCTCATTCTTCCCCCATCAAATAAATGGCTTATTCCAACAAGTATGGACAAGTAAGGACGAACCATTCAACGACCACTTCAACTTGTGCTTTGCTAATAACTAAAACATTCAGCCTCGCAGCTATATCATCCTAATTTAACCCAACCAACAACACAATCTAAACGGTCTCTCTCCTCTTTGTACACCACATGATTCTGATTCCTGAAGCTGCTGCTGCTCGATATCACACTACCTATGCGAACTGTGAGGCATTGGATATGTCATTGGAACCATGTTCATTGGTGCACCAGGAACAACTCCAGGTACTGGGGCGCTCACACCATATGCCAAGTGCGGGGGAGCAGGGAGATTCACAGGGGTGCCAACAGCTGAGACAAGGGGTCCTCCAATTGGTTGCCCTATACTTAGTGCACTGCCGTACATTCCAACACCTGGGGCCCCAGCAGGAGATTGTTTGGTGGACTTACCAGAGGAACCTACTGCAGCACCATTTGCTTGACCAGTGATTGGCCCTTGAGCTGCCGAAATTTCTCCATTGTTGACACTGGTTATGTCATGAATGCTTGATCGCCTCCTGTCCTTGTTCATTGAATTCAAGCGTATGAAGTACTTTTGTGCATGGCTTGCCACTTGCGTAGGGGTTCTTGTTACCACAAAGTTCCGGGATATACTTCGCCAATCGCCTTTCCCATATTTTTCCAAACCAAGAAGAAATAGCCTGTCATGGTACAAAAACAGAAAGAAAAAACCATAAGCAATGGGCATTATTTTGAAATCTCACAAAAGCAGAGTCAGAGACATTGCAAGGTTGGTCTAAGATAACAGTACCTAGGACGTGTTAAAGGACCATAAAAACCTTGTAAGCAATGAATTCAACAGCCACCAAACTTCTAAACACAGACAACTTAGAACTATATAAAAGAAATGGTACTCCATAGGGACAATATGGTTTTGGGATTTGGAATCAGTTTGAGATTCTCTGCGTTGGAGGCTCACAAAATTGCAAAAAGCCCTCACCAAAAAACTAGTAAGTCGGTGATATTTAACCTAGACTAAGAACCCAGGTGACGACACAGGATGGATACTGCCAAAACGCCTACTCAAAGAATTAAGAAAAGAAAATCCATCAAACATACAAGAAAAGGAATATGATGTACATATAATTCAAGCATACACTGTTGGACAGATTCATTTAAAGAGAGATAAATGGCAGCTGGTATACAAGAACTTAATGCATACCAAACACTGTACTATCAAGCCACAAGTCTGATAACGTGATCAGCTGGTATCTTTTGTAAATATAAGAAATGACTATGAACAAAATTGGTCTTAAATTTTTTGTTACAGATGTTTCATGTTTTCTTAAAAACCTCACGTTTTGGAGTTCCCATAATCCTTTCCATCTTTGTCAGCTGAATGCAACTCTATAAGTACTATATGCAGATTATTAGAAACACTTCCGCATACTTTCAGTTGGCACCCCTTAACAGTAATACAGCAGGAATTTCCCTCACAATTTCATACAACCTGGTTCTATATCTAAAAGCAGAGTCTCTACTCTCTAGAAATAGGTTTTCACCATGGGATTGTTGACTGGGGGGCCTTACTAGTTCTTTCATGGTGACGAGACAGAGCTATTTCATGTCTCGTCATTTTGATCCACTTTCCTATAAAACGGTTATGTGCATGCTACATACCTTAGCTCTATTCTTCCATAAACAAACCAGTTTTCATGATAACAGTTACTGTTCAAATCTGCCTTACAAAAATACTGTTCAAATCTAAATCTACAGATCACATATATTCCTACTAAAACAATTACCAGCTAATCACAATTTGAGTAAAGCAGGTGTGGCAGTTCCCAGTTACTTCTTACCAGTGCCAAATTGAGAAACAAAGGTTTCTTAGCCCAATGCAGTAGTGCAGTATGCCAAAAGCTGAGGTAAGGCATATACCAAAATCATTATATCAGGATAGGGTGTTCCATGCGTAAACACCAAATCCCACAGAAAAATTACAATTAAGGAACCTAGATACATAACTAAAAGGCTCTCATTTCAGACAAACTATCCTAAAGGTTGTGCTACACTTCGATAGTTTCTCCTACAATGCCGTTTTCTTTCTTATCCAAATTTTCACGTTTTCAGATTTAACTAATAGTCTACGAGGGCAACCCGGTGACAAATATATCCATAAAGCCTTAACAGTCTTTCATACAAAAATAAAAGAACTATTCAAATGAAGCCTAACCAAATCGTGCATCAATATAGAAAAGTTGAATGAGGAGAAACCAACTGCCATGTTAGGAATGTGTTTAAATATGAAAATACCAAGTTTTCTTTACTTATTCCATTATAGTTCAACAATATTGTACAAAAGTATAACCCAAGGGCCATGAGCTTGATACTTAATAGAAACAACGTAAAAGGAATATTCTGGATATGGAAGTTCTTCAAAAGGTAAAGCTCGATATAGTTAATAGCTTAACCAACTATCATCACCCTAAGCTTTAGGGCCTAAAGCAACTTCATAAAACTTATTGTTGGACAAAAAAACTTAAGATCTTAAAGTTGAACCAGGGACAAAACTCCTGGTAAAAATTTGCTAAGAATAACCAATCTTTAGCTTTATTTAGATACTCCAACAAATGTCACCTATCATAAGGGCAAGAAAATCATTAAACTCAACCATAATATATACTAACCTGTGTTCATCCTCTGTCCAAGCAATTCCCTTTCGGCGTTCCTGATCTGCCCTTGAAGCCTTACTTCCATGATTAGATTCATTGCTATAGTTTCCAGAATGTCCCCCTTTCTTATTGGTTCCTTCATCACTGGCGTGGCTAGTTGAACCCTCTGAAGAAGAATTGTAGCAAGGCAGAGGCACAACACCAGCTTCGATCTGGGATATATCCTCAAGTAAGAGGTCATAATGATGTTTAATCTCCTCTAGGGTTTTCCCTTGTACATCAGCTGCAATTTTCTCCCACCGATCTGAAGAATCCTCAGGATAAATTGCGAGGGCATTCTCAAATGCCTTATCCTGCTCTCGAGTCCACAAGGAGCTACAGCCCGCTTCCTCCACAGTCATCTGTGTAATCTTTGTTTGACTCCACTATCCAAATATTTCACACTGGAAGAAGAGGAGAGTAATTTAGCAACCTGCTTGGCAATTTATGCTACACCAGGTCTGGGATTATCAAGTATCTAGAATTGTTCTTGGGAATTGGATCTAAATTATTTCAATAGTTGGTTACAACATATAGCTAACAACTTCTTGCGGGCTAAATTATGGGAAAAGGATGCTTAAGACCACAGAGGTAACTGAAGATTTCAGCGGCGATTAGCTCCACAATTCAAGAATTGGAGTCTTCTGAATTGCTGACCTATTGATGAACGAAAAGGCAACAAACTTCAGTTAGAGCATGAGAAACCTCTGAAAATCATAATATCAAAGATGCAACAAATGGCAGTTATAAAAAGGGAAATATCACTAATTACAAACATAAATTTAGTAAATTTAGTAGTAGAATGGTAATTAGGGTTTTACTCTGTGAAATATGAAAGAGACCACGAAATAACCAAACAGAGAAGAAAAAACCCCAAGCCTTTGAATTCTAAGGAAAAAAAATCCCAGTTTCAGAGCAGCTGCCCCACCCCATTCCCACCCCCACTGATAGGGATATCAACAGTTTTAACAGCGCAGGCCCACTCTTTTCACACTCAATTTTCACAGCTTCCTTATCCCACTAACACCATAATCCATATCCTCACTCATTCCCCAATCCCTAATCATATGCAGAATTCAAAATTGGGAGATTCAGACAAGAATTAAAATTTCAAAATTCGGCAAAAAAATAAAGAAAAACCTTACCCGCTGTGAATTCATTGCCCAACTAAACTACATATATGGAATGGAGGAGGAGAATCCCATCCAAAATTACCCACCTAAAGCAAAAAAAGATGAAAATTTTCAATCATTGTTAAGTAAATGCACCTACTTGTACATCCTTTTCCAATCATTGATCAACACACAACAGCGACTCTAGCAACCAACAAAATGCGGTTAAACCTAATCAGGGAGAGGGAGAGGGATTGAAGTAAACTATCAAATTATGGCAGTTTAATCAACAAGCAAAGGAGTTAACTTTGAGAAGCAGTAGTGTCACAACTCACAAGCAAGATTGTATTTTTAGGAAAGCAAAACCCAACCCTCGAGTACGCGAGACACCTAGCTTGCTTCACCTCCTCTCCTCCCCTTCTGTGCGTGCGTGTTTGCATTTGTCAGTATTTTACCAAAAAGTGAAAATTGACCAAAAAAGGTATACAAGGGGAAATTACTCTGATTGCATATTTTACTGCGGAGTTGACATCAGCATAGACAGAAATAGAAGAAGCCTAATAAAAACAAACAAACCGGAAGAGAGAGAGAGAAAGCATCAAGACCAGAAATTTAGATAAACCCAAAAGAGAAATAAAATAAAAGTTAAAACCATCAACCAGAAGAAAACAAAAGGTCAAAAAGGCCAGAAAAAGAGTTGGAATTTACAAAGCAATAAATAAAATAATGGATGATGTGGATGGATTACCCTGAATCGAAATATCCAGAGAGGCAACTGCAGGAGGAGGAATCCATCAGACTCAGAAGTCAGGATGGTCCACTCCACTGGGTCCCATCATCACCCAACATCTACTCTCTGATTACTTTACACATTCATCCACACCACACCACAGCTCGGATTGATAACTGATTGAAACGTACACATTTACATACAGACGATCTCAACTCTCCAACTCAACTTGCAATTTCACACACATACAATTCCCTATTTCCCATTCCCATTAATGCATCAGCTCGCACATAATAAAACCGCCACCATCAAACAAACAAACAAACAAAACCATTTGCAGTTGCAGAGCAAAACATAATATATACATAAATTGCAAAAAAGTGACATAAGAAGGATTAAGGAGGAGGGAGGAATTGGGTTTTTGAGATTGAAAGCAATAGGCTTCACCTGTATTCCTTGGAAAAGTGATCAAAGTTTCCTTCAATCTTTTGGTAACCTTCTCATTTCTTTGCACTTGCAGACTTGCACTTGTCAAGACTGACTCCTGTTTTGTTGCACACAACATCAACACCATCACAAGAGTCAAGTAGGCAGCCTATCCTATATTAATATCGGATTCGGAGGCACACTTCCTTCTTTTGGTTTTGGGTCCTACTTCCTACTCCCTACTACCCTAATTTGTTAATAATATCATTTTACAGATTTATCCTCTTTCTAATTTTTGGATAAATATCTCTCATCCCACAATCTAAGTTTCCTTTGATGGCAAAAAATCACCCAACTTTTTTTACCAAAAAAATAAAAATAAAAATCACCCAACTTTCCCTTTTTTCCCAACTTCACAATCGCTTAAAATGATATATTACTTTCGCTCTTTCCCTTTTTCTATTTTTTTTTGTGCCCCCTGTGACTCTGTCTGCTCCATCTGATTGGGATCTTGTTTTCCTTGTAGGAGAGATCGGCAAGCACATATACTACTACGGTAAAATACCATAGTAGACACAAGAAAACAGCTTGAAAGTTGAAAAGTTAAGCAAGCACATGATTTTAATTGAGACCCACCCAATGTGGCCCCTTGCTCTCAATTTTGCAAATCATAAATTGCGGCGGTTGTATAAAGCACAGCAGAGGACATCTTTGGCCCTGGCATGGCCCCCCGCTTCAACTTTGTGGTCAATTTTAGACAACAAATTGTTCAATTCTGCATTTTACGTAGATGTAGGTTTTCCCAAGAGAAATAATCTGACGCACGTATATATATACCTTCTTTTATTTTCTTTTGGTAAACAAACACTATCCAGATAGATACATGTGCAACGTATTGGGCCAAGTGTCATGGGGTGGGCCGTTAAGCATTTCCCACGGGAAAAAAAATAGAGAAATTGTCAAAAAATCAGAGCCATGAATGTGATATGGGTAGAAAACTTCCCCTAAGCATTTTGACTACAAAGAAGAATGTGATAAATTACACGTCACCAATTTGCTTTACAGGCCCAAAAATTGATAGCCAGTTTAGTTTAACTTCCCCTGCAACTAGTAGTAGGAGTAGGTGCACCTCCATCCTAAACAGAATGGCAGCTGTAAAACCAAAACAATCAAGTGAATATCATTACAAATCAATTAATACGAGTTGGCACCAATGATAACATGAACACCAGCCACCAAAATCTTCTCTCCGTATTTTGTGTAATTTACACCCCCGACGAAGGCGTCCGGTTTATCCTCTGTGCGCCCAATTTTGGAGCAGCAGGTTTCGCTCCTCGGCCTTTGGCTACTGATAGAGGCTTTGCCTTGGTAGAGGGTGGGGGAGCGGCAATCGCAGCCCATGGATCATCATCATCAACTGCTGCACTTGCTTTCACATTCATTGGTTTTGAAACTGTTCTTGGTGCAGGGGCGGCAATCGAGCCCCATGAATCATCATCTTCGTTTGTTCTTGGTGCCTTGGCTGTGTTTTTCGATCTCAAACTTGTTGCTACAAATTAATACAAAAACCTTCCAGTTAATTAACACCACAATTATATTACTGAATGAGCGATTAACGAAGACGGACTGCATACAAACTTAGATGAACTAGAAAAGGAAAAAACGTAAAAGCAATATTAAACTTCTACCAATGTTGACACTTTGTAGGCCATTGTGGAGGCATGCAATATAATCAGCAAATACTTCATTCTAAAAAAAGATATATGATTTATCCACCACAAGACAATTATCATCGGTTTAGGTACATTCGAAATTCAAAACAGTACACTGCATTTTTACTCTTTTATTGTAACCAGTAACTTTTACACATTTCTGCAATATTTTACATTCATTCAGATGTAAATGCATAACAGCAGAAGCTAAAAAAATGCCATTTTTGATACATAATTTCAATTACCTTGTTTAGGCTGCAAAGCAGCTTGTGAGACCGGCCGCTTTTGAGCTGCTTGAATACTCGCAAGAACAGGAGATGGTTTTGGCTCTTCCAGGGGTTCAACATCATCCCACCCATCCTTGTCACTTTCATTCTCTTCGTGGGTTCCATTTTCAAGTTCTCCCCAGCCATCTGTAGATGTTGGGGAATCAGGTATACGTTGATCGGCAAAATCTGTTGTCGAACTTATGTGGGCAGGGCGCCGTGCTTGGAGTATCCACCACTAGGATTTCAAGATAATAACAATGTAAGAAGTGGAACCCAAAAAAGTATTATTGGCCTGTCTATCCATTTTTTTAATAAGAAATTGTTCTGATCTCTTATGTAGTTGAGGTAGAAACAAAATAGATATGGAAACCAACAAACGAACACAATTCCCTCTCCTTCCACCCACACCCCCCTTTTATTATTGGATCTCCAGCATTCAACATTCTTAGCATGGTTGTTGATTCTCCAACAAGCTAAACACATTTAAAGAATCCAAGTTATCAATATGTGTACCTGAGCTTGCATTAGAAGTTGTTTTAGTAAGAGATGCACTGGTATTTACAGGAGCAAGTGGAGCTTGTTCAGAAGGTTTACCCTTGAGAGTCAAGGAGCTCATTGCCCATCTGCATGATAATTTAAACATACGTTAAGACTAAGCTCTCAGAAAGAACCTTTTTCTTTCTATTCAGCTTCATTTGGTTCAATCCCCATAAACTAATTGTAAATCATAATATGCTGAAAAGTTTCCTAAGCAACTCACCCCAGTAAACTAGCATTTCCTGGTAGTGATGAGATTCCAACACCGGCAGTATCTCCTGCATCAGTCTACATTGACCACAAAAGAGCACAAAAATTAACAGATTATCAATATGACACAGTATTGACAAACACGAAGATATGGAGCATCAGGCTTCTGAAACTTCCTCTGAGCCTTATCCTCTAATGATTCTGCTATCATACATACTTATTTGCCTTTGCAAATAATATTTATTCACTGATACAAATAAGCACCATGAAAACCACACAAGACGATGGCATACGATAACAAGTGATGAAATTATGATGGAACACCAAAAATTGTAGCAAGGTCAACATCACACACCACATGTTGGATCATATGTGGCATGTGAACAGAAAAATGATAACTCAATTCATGAGAAATTTGCAAACGTCATATACACAAGGTAATTCCAACACACCTTTTCATAGGATTGCTTCACTATTTGTAAAAATTGATCAACTGCTTGAAATGCCTTTGATCGAACATCACTGCACCAAAGGGAAAAAAAGGTATAATTCCTGTTACAAGGATTCCATTAATAAAGTATGACAGTACAAAATGCAATCTAAATTTCTCTTTTCCCCTCAAGCTTTTCCTTTTTTTTTTTGGCCCCTTAAGATTTATCAACAAAATTCTTGGTGATACACAAATATTCGGTGCACAATTGATCCCATCCCACTCTGAGTGCATCATATGCTGATCCAAGTGTTGTACAAGTGATATTGTAAACTTGTCTAAAAAGTCTACTTAGATCACACAACACACAGGCATTCACCCAAGCAATGACTAGACCCTGTAATTGGCTTAACAATAGGGAAGGAAAAGCAAAGTTTCTTAAGGAAATATCTCCTTGGTATTCCAATATATAGACAAATTATTACTTGCTACTCAAAAAAGTAATAGGAATATACAGTTATTCAGAACAAAAGACTAAAGAAACTGTCCAAAGATAATTATGAATACTAACATTAATAAGAAGATGACCTTAAAATATCTTTGTGACAAGAAACAGAATCTTACAAGATTCTGTTATAACTGCAAATGTTATTTCAATGTTTTTTAAATACAGCAAACGCCTACCTCAGAGTAGTTAAATGTGATTTCAAAACAACCCAGATCAAGAGAAGATTTTGTAAGGTACATATAAGGTATCAATATGTACAGACTGTTAGCATGCCATAGAACATGAAAACACCCTCAATAATAACATAAAGCATGCTTCAAAAAAATCCAGAGAGAGAAATAATGTACAAATCATCTGCAGCATACTTACTTATCAGGATCAATGGTAAGAATAACAACATTTGGGAGAATCCGAGTTGCAATCTCAGTGATATCATAATAAGAACTGGTAGCACACAAAGCCATTATACCTGCCACAATTTTCACATTGATCATAGAATCCAAGTGTTGACACATGTACAAAACAGAGGAAAAGAACAAGTTTAATATGAGGAAAAACTAAAACATGATTCAAAAAAGAATGTAGTAAAAAAAGGCATGGAAAAATTGAAAATTCTAGTACCTGCTCCTCGGGCAGGTGAGAAAGTATCACGTAATGCACGGGCAGTAAAAGCATTAATCAACACTCTTTTCCTTGTCTGCATTTAAATATGAACCCAATCATCTTAGGACAAGCAAATATTTTATCAAAATCTGTTGAAAAATTAGAAATTAACCAATAGGACCATTCTATCACTGAAGAGAAGAAAAAAAATTAGAAACAGTAAATGTGGCAAATAGATGACACTAACCCCATCATTCAGGTGGGATGCAATGTTCCCTAGTAATATAGTGGTGTTCGTTCTAATTGCTGGTTCTTCATCAACCTACAAAACAGGAAGAAATTAAAAGAATAAAATACTTAATGTCAGAGAATGGCTATATTCTACATTCTAAACACATGCACTCACAAAAATAATCTTCAAAATAATCGACTTGAAGAGACATAGTGTGAAAATAAACGCTGCAAACATTCATTTCAATGGCAAGTCAAGGTTATTAGTTCAGAAGTTAATACCTGTAACTTTGAAAGATACTTCAACAAGGACCCTGAAATGGTGCGTTGAGAAAGCTACAAAGTAGAAAGACAAACCGATTAGATGAGAATAATCACATAATTTGAAACTAGAATGACCTCTAAACCTAGGCTCCACACAAAGATTGACCTATATCTTTAAAATGGTATGGAGTAAACCATTCTATATAAAATACTAACACTTAAGCACCGTGTTTTTGAGATTCAAATCATATTAACAGTGGCTTTTGAGAATATAAATTATACAAAGTGAGAATCATACAACCATAAAATTAGGTGCACTAACCTTAGGAGCTAGAACAAGCATCGACTTCAAAGTCAGTTCCCGGAGAAAAGCAGATGTGTCAGTGAACCCAGTAGCAACGTGGGGGTAAACCTAATTTCAAGCATCACATGCAAATTTAGAACCTGCAAACTAGGAATGAATCAATCTAAATCTACCAGTCTTTAATAAAATCCAACTATCATTGACTGCATACTTGCTCATCAACAATTTGTGCTGATAATGATTCTCCAAACTGATCAATATGTTGCAAAAGTCCAACTCGAATAGCTCGGTCATTGGAAGCAAACAGCTTCACAATTGTTGGCAGCACCTAAATGTATAGGCAAGACATAAACCCAAGTCAGATGATTACAACTGTAAAAATAAAAACAACTAACAAAGGATAAACGAAGCTTCCACATTCAAGTAGAAATTTAAGTAAACAACATTCATGAAATATAGGTCAACGCAGAATACTGAAACAGTAACCTTCACACTGAATTCTTCGGTTGAAAGCCAGGAACCCATTTTCAACAAAGCCGTCAAAGCAGGTGCAGCAGCTGAACCAAATTCAAGGGCAGAAGCCAATAAAGGAAGCAACTGTAGAAACCAGAAGGTAGGATTATAATTTGATAACAAAAAGGTTTGTTATATATTTTGAAGTTCAAAATCATATAATAATTCGGAAAACACACCTTTTTCAGCACAATCTGGCGAGGTAGCTGCTCCGCTAAATTTGGAAGCTTGCGGAAGAAGGTATCCTTCTCAACACTATCTTTCAGATTTAGAATTTCCATGAAATGTATTGTATCCACTAGCTTATTTTGAAAATATTCTGCCAGTACATTTGTTGCAACAGTTAGTGAAATATACGTGAACAAAAACACTATGAGACATAAGATTGTTAAACCACCAATGTATAAACAATAGAAGGAGCAAAGATCATAGTTTCATAAATGCCAATCAGTCCTCAGACCACGAAGGAGACTGACATTCTCAAGAGTCAAGACTATAAATTCCCACAAACATTAAAAGAAATTAACTTGAGTTGAGAAAGAAAGATCACCACTATTTTCTACAAGCTTCGATGTATTCAACCTACGAGAAGGCGTGGAACTCAAGAGCCGCTGATAATCTGGAAGCAGAGACTGTGAGACAAGAAAATAGAGAGATGCAAATGAAAATGAATCTTCAAAAAGATTAAGCCCATGGAAACAAACAGATGTCAGGCACTTGCAAAATCTTTAGTTAACATGGTGGTGTTCATGAGAGATTGAAAAGATCAACCACATTTTACCCCTATGGTTTGGGGTTGTCTTCAAAATGGGCCATGACATTTCCGTTTTAGTAATTTATTTACAAATGATATTAAATTGATGATGTGGGAACTGCGTACCCCTTTTTGTGCTTTTAAAATACTTGTTTACTATATTTATTCCCCAGGTCTGCATAAAAATGGGTCCCAAAAGTGCCACATCACCAATTGAACGGAAAACAAACAGTTTTCCTGACAGGAAGTTTTAAAATGATGTCATTTTATAACTTCAGGGTGCAAATTGCCAAATTCATAACTCGTGGGCAGCCTTCTGGGCATCAATTAGTTACTTGTAAATAGATCTACTTGAGAGGTCTTAGCTAGTTTTGCTAGATGGTGGATTTCTTATCCACTTTTTTATAATTCATGTTATGCTTTAATCAAATTTTATCGTTCTTCTGAAAAGAAAAAAAAATTTGAAAACCACTACCAAACCTTAGGGGTTAAAATTAAGTTGATCCCTAAAAAGAATAAGGTCATCGTTGACTCATGCTGACAGTAGAAGACTACGAACCTTTGGAATAGAAGCCGTGTTGCGTAGTTCCTCTGTTTTGCTTAATTTCAGACCGGAGAAGAGCTCGTATATAAGGCAGCCTATCAGTTCAATTAAAGAATTTAGATTTTCAAGATTAGTGTATTCCACTGGCAGTTCAGCAACAAAACATCACATGATTCAACATATTTTACTATAAATATATTAACTATATTAAGATAAACCAACCAGCATTCACTGAAAATATAATCAAAGCCAATACACGAAAACATTAGCAGTACAACATCAGCAAATTAGAAAACAAAAAGCCTTCAAACTCTAATTGACTAAACATGTATCAGCCTTCCAATCCAAGTTAAGATAATAAGATGGAATATATCAAAATTCAATATATACCAAAGAAAATAAAAAGAGACAAAATTCCCCACGACAATCCACTTCCTTCCACCTTCTGCCAAAAAAAACCTCCCAATCGTTTCCAACTAAACAACCCAAAATATTGTCCTTTGGCAACACATTAAAAACCCACACTAGCCTTTTTCTCTCCACCAAAAGCACAAAATACCTCCATAAACAAAAATTCACAAGACCGAACTCGGCCTTGCTTTCCAGTACAATCCATACCTTATCGTCAAACAATGGGACAATGAAGAAAAACAAGGATGAACCTTCTACGAGGGGCTCAAATTCATTCTACATCCCCACGAAAGAATCAATTAAGTTCAACATTAAGAGGTCAAGTGGAACTAACAAACCAATAATCATGTTTTGAGAAACAGATAGCAGCAGACTTACCCAAGCCCCAAGAATCAATAGCCCATGGTGGAGACTTTCTGATTGCAGCCCAATCAGACTTAAGTAACTCCATGGGTTTGTATTGTGGTCCAACAAGCCAGGCAAATTGCTGACGGAAGATAAGAACTAATGAGAAACATATCGAACTTCTTACTATTCCTAAGAATTTTTTAGCACAAATATCCACAAGAAATTATCTTAGTGGAAACAAACACCATTTCATCCATAGCTATTCAAACAAGAAAAAAAGATATAACCAAAGTTTAAAAATGTAAGCCCTCCCATATCGGTGAAGCAGGTAAACTTTAAAACAATAGTTAAAGAAACAAAAGCGGGGAGAATTCAATAAAATTTAACAAGGAAATAAGTTGAATTAATCAGGCTCTACAATGATGAATCACAATGGAAGACATGCATACCAGCATTTGTCCGGCAGAAGCCTCATTGCCGCCATCAAACTCAGATAGTACATCAAAAGCATGTAGCTTCCAGTCCAAAGTTTGAGTTACAACGACACTGGCCAAGCAAACGTTGGCATGAACCTGTATTGTCCAAAAGCTAGTCAAACAGTATTACTACAACTGAAAATCATATATGAGAATTAGCTATATGGTGCACTCCACATTCAAAATACTAGTAATGCCAATTACAAAAACTTACAAGTTTACAATCATTATTCAAGAAACTGACAGCCTTCGCTATCTGGTGCAGTCCGCATGCGAAATACTCATCCCTAACATCAAGGAAAAAAATGATGAAGTGAATTCTAGCGACAATTTCAGCATCCATTTTCTATGATTTGCATCTGCAATAATGTAAAGAAATAAAAAGATTTTCGTAGTGAAACAAATTGAACAAGTAGACGGGAAAAAGAGCGGATAGATTATGTTTGGAAATACCTTTGGATACCTTGTAAATTGAGCTCCTTGATCTTATCAGAGAGGGGCATAACAGGCTCGGTAACGATATAGATAATTTGCTTGGTGGCAGAAGAAGCATCCACAGTTTCAGCCTCAATACTGTGAAGAAATGATAAGATGTTTGGGTGTCTGACCTGAAAGTAGACAAGCAAATCAGCAAAATGAAATGAACAATTGCTGCTGCATTTGCAATTTTGCATATGAAATTGTGAAGAGCAAAACGAAAGAGAAACTCACAGTGCGGAGACGCTTGACGCCATTGCGAGCAGCGGCCAAATGGCCATCCTGAGCATTACTTCCAGATATAGAGAATATGGAAACCGGAGACCCATCGTCCTGGACAGTTTACAACAAACAATTGGAAGAAAAAAAAAAAAATGATTTCATTCGAATTTCTTCGTCCCAAATAAACAATCACCCTCCCTCAGATCCAGTCATGACTCGTCCACATCCACCGTTGGAATCATGAAATTTTGTTTGTATATACACACACATAGAGAGAGAGAGAGAGAGAGAGAGAGAGGAGTGAGAGAAGCAGACCTTGGAGGTGCCTCGGAAGTGAGTCCAAGAGCCCCAAGCACAGGGGTAAGGATCGCCGATGTTGTAGGGCAGATCTTTGGGTCCAGTCCCCGATCCGCCCACCACTCCCTTCAAGAATTTCAGCATCCCTCCTTCCCTTCGCTCTTCGCTCTTCTTCTTTCGCTGCAACCAAACGGCGTCGATTAGACTCCACTAGTTTCCGTTAGATCCTCTCATTCCAAGCTTCCGTCACTTCCTCTCCTCCTCCTTTCTTGTCTTAAACTTATTTTTTTAATTTCTTTTCTTTTTGTTTAAAGAAAATAAAAAATAATAATAATGATCCCAGATCCCCAGTCGGAATTCTGCTGGGTTGGAATTGGATCTGTCTGGTTTGGGTTGGGCTTCATCGTCCAGGAACACCAGGAAATACTTATAGGCTTGGTTATATGAGTTTTATTAAAGTAAACAGTATCGCGAGTTTTCGTTAAAATTTCCTTATTAATAATTAAAATTGCAAGCGATCTTTTTACAAGGTAACGGAAAGATGTTGCGTGACGATTTTGTTTCAAACTCGATCGATTGCTAATTTAACACCTAATTTATTAACGCTATAACTTGATAAAATAAAATAAAATAATAATTAAAACTTCGAGTGGGAGGGATGGTAGGCTGGGTTGCGTGGCGGCAGACGGGCAGAGGCAGACCAGATCCGCAAGTTCATTCATTCATTTGAATAAATAATTAAATTGAATCAGTCTTGTCCTCCTCTTCTCCGATTCTCTTGTCTTCTCTCCAGATTCTTCTCCCAGTCTAGTCCATATGATATACTAGTCAGTCAAATTTCCAAATACTAGTGGTGCACTCACAGTGAGCGATTCGTTCCAATTTCACCGTCAGAGTTCCAATGGTGAGGGCGTCCGTCTCAGTAATCATATACATAGCAATTGCATTCCTTGTCCTCTTGCTCATCTCCCACTCCCCAAAGAAACCCGGCAACCACCGCCACCGCCGCCTCAAGCTCCGCTCCAACTTCACCTTTGCTCCCCCCCTCCACCACCATAACCCGATCCCCTTCGACCCCCTCGTCGCTGACATTGAGCGCCGCCGCGAGGACCGTAAGTGGGAGCAGCAGCACTTCGATCATGCCTTCAACGCCTCCCACGACTCCGCACCCGCCGCCGAGTCTCAGCCCGAGTGGGAAGACTACATGGACGCTGAGGATTACTTGAACAATGAGGACAGGTTCAACGTCACCAACAGGTTGCTTTTGTTGTTTCCAAAGGTTGATGTCGACCCGGCTGATGGATTCGTCACCGAGGACGAGTTGACTCAGTGGAACTTGAACCAGGCTCAGAGGGAAGTCTTGCATCGAACTCAGAGGGATATGGAGCTTCACGACAAGAATCGTGATGGCTTTGTTTCCTTTGCCGAGTATCAGCCCCCCAGTTGGGTTCAGAATGCAGGTTTTGTCTTTGCAAGTTGTTGCATATGTTTGGTTATTTCTCATATCTTGTTCTGTTACATTGGCTTTATTAATTGCTGAAAAGCGAAATTCAATCCATGGCTATGCTATATGGAATTTGTGGTTTTTGGTTTTCGGTAGAAACAGCTTGAATTTAAGTAAAACTAGTGTGTCATTCTGTAATGTGTTGGAATGTTGTTCAGTTCCTAGTACTAATGCTCCAACGGCGGTAATATGGGTGGGAAGAAGGAAAGTTGTATCTGGTGAAACAGGGTGGTCAATTGTTATCTAGGAGTAGGTCATCCTCAACTAGATATTTGTATGTTTTCATATTCTCCTTGTCACTGATTCAATTCATGTTCCATGCGCCAGATAACATCTCCTTTGGCTATGATATGGGTTGGTGGAAAGAGGAACATTTTAATGCATCCGATGCGAATGGAGATGGTCTTCTTAATATAACTGAGTTCAATGAGTGAGCTTCTACCTGTCTCTCAACTTCCTTGTACATAATATCCTTTCGAATACCTTCTTTAACTTGATGTTGGTGCTTTTTCTCTTCGTCCTTTTCTAGCTTTCTACACCCAGCTGATAGCAAAAACCCGAAGCTACTTAAGTGGTTGTGCAAGGAGGAAGTAAGGTAGTATTGATTTCCCATCTCTGAAATTCTGGTTGTCCATATCCATATGAGCAATATCTATTTCTAGGATATCAGTTTGTAGGTCAGAGGTAGGCACCCTGACAAGGAAGTTTGCAAGCAACGGACTGAAGTTTCTCTTACTTCGATTTTTATAATTTTGGGTTTCTCCTGGACTAAAATCATCTGATATCAGAACCAAAAAGAGAAAAAGAAACATCTACTGATGTGGGAAGTTAGGAACCAGGGACTGACTAGTTGAGATGGATGGTTCCTTTTTACCAGCTTTTTTTTTTTTTTTTTTATAGTATTTTATCATTTTCCCTTGCACATCATCTTATTTGTCATTGCGTGATGTCATTCTAACATGGTTGCTTAGCTTCTCTAGTTGTCTGAATGCTCCTTTACCTCCTTAGGGAAAGGGACACTGACAAAGATGAAAAGATTAACTTCAAAGAATTCTTCCATGGCCTCTTTGATTTGGTGAGGAACTATGATGAACAAAATCACAATTCCACCCATCAGTCTGATGATTTGGAGTCCCCAGCCAAAAATTTGTTTGCTCAGCTTGACAAAGATGGCGACGGGTACTTTTAAGCTGCTTTTATTTGTGTAATTATCAGAGGGTTTCCCTTTTCATGATGATTTTACTTGTTTCCATCTTGCATATCCACAGGTATTTGTCAGATGAGGAAATACTCCCTATTATTGGAAAGATACATCCATCAGAACATTACTATGCAAAACAACAAGCAGATTACATTATATCACAGGTATTCATTTTTACAATGAAAAGTATTTTCTTTTCTAGTTGCCCTCTTTTTGTGGAACCTGGTCTCCTCCCACCGTGTAGCAAGGGCTTCCTATTCCTTTCCTTGCCTAATAAGATGAGTTAATAATTTCAAAACAATAAATTAAGGTTTGTGAATTTATACATAACAGTGTTGAGAGCTGATCACTTTCTTTATTCTATCAGAGCATCTTCAAGTGTCAAAGTCTGTTGATTTATCTTGCACTAGAAGAGGCAATTTGGAGATCAACTTTTAAAATTGCTTGTAGATTATAGACTGGGCATGATCTCTATATGTTGGTATTCGGATTCTCTAGTCACGTATTGTCATCATGCTCGTAGAAATTTACCTTATAAGAGGGTGGAATTATCAGCCGATTAGCAAGTAGGCATTAATTTGCAATCTTGCCATTCTTCTGTCACTGAAGACATCAAATGAAGTTTGATAGTAAATATCTTGTGCTGCCCTTAATCGACAAATTTGTGAACTGCAGGCTGATACAGATAAAGACGGGCGACTAACGCTGGGAGAGATGATAGAGAACCCATATGTATTTTATAGCGCTATTTTCAATGACGATGAGGAAGAGGACTATTACCATGATGAGTTCCGTTAATCTCATTAGTGATTCTCTTGTCTTATTGTTTTAATAACATTATAGTTGCAGGATGCGGTAGAGTTCAAAATCTTCGTTGGTTTTGTTATTGTTTGTTGATATGATGGAGCTAGAGTATGAAAGAGACTGATTCAACCCAAACACGAGAAGGGGGGGGTGGGGGGTGGGGTGGGTTTGGGTGGGTGTGGTGTGGTGGGGTGGGTTTGGTGCCCTTCCAAAATATGAAAATACATTCCATAGTGCATGCTCCCGCGATCCCATGGCTGGCTCGGTTGGTTATCTGGAGCCATTTTGAAGGAGGATTTATTTATTTTATAGAGCTGCTTGACAATTAAACGCAAATGTAATGGACAGACTAGTGAAGGAAGACATTTTTATGATTGTTATTTTTTATTTTTTCCTTGTCTTTGGTACTTCACATACATCATTGTCTTTGTTGGTTTTGTCGATTACTGCTTTCTTTCACAAAGAAGAACAACGTCGTATCGCATGCACTAATGTCAGATTCGTATGTTTCATTTGCAACCAACAATGTTTCATTTATTCATACATATGTATGTATCAATTCAATTCAAACAGCGGACCAACACAAAACAAAAAATTTATTTACAAACGGGTCCTATCCGATTCCCCTTCCTATTGTTGCCGTCGCTGTCGGAGTCAGATTCAGACTTGTCCTGGTCGTCATCGGAATCAGAAGGTGGAGAAGGGTCGAGGCGAGCGGCGTCCTTGGCCCAACGCATCAACTTTTCAACTTCATCCTCCGGCGATGGTGGTACAGAAGGAGGAGGGCGTTGCAGGGGCCGTTGGCAATGAAGACTTGAGAGCGGCGTATCTGGCGGAAAGGTCGTCGCCGAGGACTGCCTTTAGTTCCTCATCCCCTTGAATGGAATTGGAATTGGTCCGATTAGATTTGGATTTGGATTTGGAGGCGGCAGCAACTCCACTGGTATTTTGAGTTTGAGGGCATGAAAGCGACATTGGATATCGTCGTCGAGAGAAACACGGCGGTGGGACATGTGAGAGTCGACGGACAGATTCAGGAGCAAATGGTCCTCTGCCGCTTGCAGCATCTCTTCAACTTCATCCTTCTCTGCTGCTGCTGTTGCTTTCTTCGCCTTGGTATTCCTGTAATTCCCCCGCTTCATCTCTCTCTCGCTCTCTCTCTCTTATACGTTCCAAGTTCCAACTCCAAGGCTGTTTGCTTTGATGCCCTCGATTTCTAATTAAAACTAAGCCCTTGCCCTTATAAATGCAGTGATGTACCAGTACCAAACGCACTCCGCCCTCCCAATTTTTTTATGTGACTAAATTGTACTTATTATTACGGTTAAGTACACTAATCTGTGCATTGAATTTACAAAGTTGCACCACTCTATAAGAAGAGGATGTAAATCAATTTGAAACAACTCGAGCTTATATCGGGTTTGACCTTTGTTTGGCTTAGACCATCTCCAACAATGGGCTAAATGCCAAATTTCCCCCCCAAACCATCTCCAACCCATGCTAAAACATTGGGCTAAATGCCAAATGTTAAAGTTGGGCCAAATTCCCCCCAGATTCCATCCCCCCCCCGCGCGACTAGACTCGCTGGCCCAAAGGCCAGTCTCGGCCCGCTCACTCTCGTACGCGCCCCACGCGGAGCGCTTGCAGACCGTGCCCGACAGGGTGGGCCCCGTTGTCAGCGGGTTGTCGGCCACCCAGCTGAAGTCCAACGGCTATTTTTGCAATCCAACGGTCCAAATTCAAATTTGATTTTTTAAAATATGTTATTTTAAAATACATTGAATCCAACGGCTGAAATCAAATATAATCAAATCTAACGGTAAAAAAAAGATCTAACGCCCCAAATTTAAATCTAACAGTTAAAATAATTAAAAAAAATTATTTAACTCAAAATTCACCCAAAAACTCTATAAATACCTATGTATTTGTTCAAACATCCACACAAAACTCAAATTTCTCTTACAATTCTTCCAATTTATCTTTCTACCATTTCTTTCCATTTCCAAATTGTTCAACATGGCAAGAGAGCATATTAGAGGTCGTAATTGGACTTGTGAGGAAGATGTTGCTCTATGCTTGGCATGGGTTTCTGTTAGCGAAGATGGTGCAGTTGGCACTAATCAAAATAAGAAGGTTTTGTGGGATAAAATCATTGCAAAGTTTCAAGAAAACTGCAATGGTAGCAGGCGGGATGGTGGTGGTGTTTATGATCGGTGGAAGACTATCAACAAAGCATGCACTTTATGGAAGGGAAGCTTGGAGAGAGCCGTGGTTGGCATGGCTAGTGGGAGGAGCGCCATAGAAATTGTGAGTTTTGTTCTTGATATTTTATTTGTCATGTACATAATATTATGTTGCAACTAATTATTTTTATGTATTTTTTGCATAGGGTGACAAAGCAATGGAAATTTACAAGACAAGAGTAACACCAAAAAATCAAGTTTTTAAGTTGCAACATGCTTGGGACATCCTCAAGGATTGTCCAAGGTGGGGAACCGATGCGGACCAACAATGGGGAAGATTATTTCAACGTGAAACTGCACAGACAAATGCCGGAGATGAAGGTGTTGCTGAAGGTGTCGATGAAATGACCCCATCTCCTTCTTTTGCAAGGCCCCCAGGAAGAGATAAGCAAAATGAAGCAAAGAGAAAAGGGAAGTCCCAAGATCTGATGAGTGGACACTTTGATACCGGAATGGCAAAATTGAACGAGACTCATAGCGCTCGCCAAGAAGAAGCGGCTCGAATGCGTTTGCAAATGAAGGAAATCTCGGATAGGGAGGAAAATAGGTTTGAAATTGAATTCATGATGAAGGACCTCAACCAATACACTCCATAGAGGAAGAAGTACTTACGTGGTAAGCAAAAGGAAATTATGCGAAAGTCTGCCTCAAGGAGTATGTTTCAAGATGATGAATCTTCTCAACCCTATATCCCAACATTTCAACGAAGTCCATCACCAAGTGAAGATAGTGGATATGATTGTTAAGTTTATGTAGTGTATGAATTATGTGCTTTATTAATTATGTGCTTTATTAATTAAGTTTATTAATCATGTGCTTTATTAATTAAGTTTATTAATTATGTACTTTATTAATTAAGTTTATTAATTGTGGTTTGTGAATTATAATTTATGTCTTATTAATTATCCAATAATTTATGTCTTATTATTCCCCACTTTGATGTAGAATAGATGCCTTCAATAATTCAACCTCCATTTTATCATTTATCCAACGTACTAGACAAAATACTTTGCACAAAAAGACACTTAAATTTATTACTAGAAAATAACAACATAGTACACTTAAAATTATTACATAAATGCATAACCAACATCATCAACGTTCACCTTCTCGGCGCCATACATGCTCAACCAAATCTTTACGGAGTGTGTCATGACATTGAGGAACTTGAATTCTATTTAAACGTCTCATATACTCACTCAAGGTGACCCTATCCTGTCGGGTCTCATATGTGGTTGGAGCGAGATATTCAACATCTCTTGCAATAGCTCTTGCATGTGTTGGTTGGTCATCATTCACATCTTCGTCTGAATCTTCTTCAATTTCAATGTACTCATCTTCCACAATCATGTTGTGCAAAATTATGCACGTCATCATGATTGAATGGAGGTCTTCGGACTGCCAAAATCGTGCAGGCCCTCTAACAATGGCCCATCGAGCTTGTTGAATCCCAAACGCTATCTCCACATCCTTCCTGTAAGACTCTTGCCTCTGCGAATATAATTTCTTCTTTGCACTATTGGGATGAGAAAAACTTTTGACAAAAGTAGACCAACTAGGATAAATACCATCAGTTAGGTAGTAACCTAGCTCATACCTATTACCATTTACCTTGTACCGAAATTCTGGTGCCCATCCATTGACAACATTATCGAATAAAGGAGAAGACCAAAGAACGTTGATATCGTTGTTTGATCCAAGATCGCCGAAGACAGCATGCCAAATCCATGTGTCGTAAGACGCCACAGCCTCGAGCACGATGGTTGGCTTGTCATGACGGCCCTTGAATTAACCAGCCCAACCAGTAGGACAATTCTTCCACTCCCAATGCATACAATCGAGACTTCCTATCATGCCAGGGAAGCCTCTTTTTTCTGCCTTGCGTAGAAGCCTCTTCAAGTCTGCACGATTTGGGTTGCGGAGGTATGTGGCTCCATATATGCCTTCAATTGCCTTATAGAAACGCTTCAGGTTCTCAATAGCAGTACTTTCTGCAAGGCGGCAATACTCGTCAGTTGAGTCTGCAGAGCATCCATTAGCTAGCATGCGAAAAGCAGATGTGAGCTTCTGATGAGGTGATAGACCTTGTCGGCCTGTGGCATCTACCCTCCGTTCAAAGTAGTGGTCATGATTGACAACTGCATTCAAGATGCTTTCAAAAAGCTCTCTCCTCATCCGAAACCGCCTCCGAAAATCATGAGCAGGAAATCTCGGACGCTCGATGAAATAATCTTTCATCATTCGATCATGACACTCTTCTCTATCACGCTGCACATATGAACACCCCGTGACAGAACCACGATGGCTAGATTCGCCATTGTGCTCAGATTGCATAAACGAGTTGAATAGTTCAACTTCAGCATTGAACAATTCTGCATCCTCAATCTCCATCCTTGCTTGGTATTGTGCCATCTGCATTGCCATACTACGCCTTCTTCTATCACCCATTGATGAGATATTGAGGATTTTTAGGAAACAAAAACTCTTTGAAAGTTGAAATATGAGTGAATATAAAGGATGATTGAAGGTTGAAAGGTTGTGTGATCAACAAATATTGGACATATGCTTATATAGAGGATGATTTCTGAAAGTTTGGTGGTGAATGGTTGGTTGAAAGTTTGGTGTTTATATAGTTGGTGAAAGTTGAAAGTGTGGTGTTCAACGGTTGGTGAATTGAAAATTTGGTGTTCAAAGTTTGGTGAATTGAAAGTTAGCCCAGGGTTAAAAGATTGGTAAAAGTTGACGGCTTGCTTTGTGGGAAATTTAGTGATTTTTCAATATTTATCGGAATTTAAATTTTTTTAGATTAAAATGTTCATAAAATTAATTTACGATAGTCTACATATTTATTTTTTTTAAAAAAATTAATTTAACAAAAAAAATAGCATAAGTTCATTCTTTAATAATCCCAGGCTAAAATTTTAGGCCAGAACGGTTGGAGCAGAAAAGTTGTTTCTGGGCTAAAAGCTAAATTTTCCGGGCTAAAAAATTTGGCTTTTAGCCCAACCATTGGAGATGGTCTTATAAGCTCAACTCATGAATACATAAGGCAAGATTATATTTATAAAGCAACTTCAGATAAACATTTTGAAATTTATAGTACACATCTTTGAAAGTATGATTCTCTTTCATCTCCCAAGTCAATATCATTTTGTGTGGACATTAAAAATCTATATGGACATTTATAACACTACCAATGTTTTTAATACTACATTCAACATTGTCAATATTTTCAACATTTCAATCATTTTAAAAACACAGCCCATAAAAAAATTTGCCTAAGTTTGAATGGAGACTCTCAGTAAAATTAGATAAAAAGAAAAAGAAAATTATATTTGGCGCAAAATGCAAAACGTCAAACGGCCCTTTCTTTCTTTCTCACGTAGATTGGGTTTTGGGAGCGAGCGAGCGACGAGCGAGCGACGAGCGAGCAGGCGAGTTGAAACCAAAACAATGAACTTGACCCCGGCTTACAGTAACGGCTACCACAACCAGCAGCAACAACAGCCACAGGGGATGAGCCAGAGGGATAGAGTCCGCCGGGGAACACGTGCCAGGTCACGTGAGCTCAGAGACAACTTCGGCAGTGGTGGTAATTTTGGCGGGCTTAGGGTTTCTGAGCCCAATAAGCAGCAACAGCAGGGAGTGCCTTCTACGGACTTCGACATGGCCTATTTCCACACTTACGCGCACGTCGACATCCACGAAGAAATGATCAAGGTGCATTATCCTGCACGTATGTGGTTGTTTTCTTGCTAGTTTTCCATCTGCTTTTTCAGAATCGATTGCGATTAAATGTCTCAAGTGTTAGTGTTTAGGTAGTCATTCTGTTTTTACTGCCGTTCGATTTTCCGGTGGCCGCCGAGGATATGAAATTAGCTTGGTGGGATGTTCCATTGTTGTTACTTGTATTGCTTTTCGTCTTTTAAAGGAAGCCATCTGAACTGGGAATGCGAATATGAATTTCAGAATATGAACCTGTGTAAATGATTTGGCCGTAACATCATTATGTGTTGTCTAAGGTTCCCTTTGTATTTTCAAATTTCAAGGTAATCGTTTATGCTCTATCGTGGAAATGCATTGCTATGGGTTTTCTTTTACAATTGGGTTGTCATAAAAATTATTGACTGACGTGGCAATCTGTCATCATTCAGGATCGTGTGCGCACTGAATCTTATAGGGTGGCAATCATGCAGCACCAGAGTTCTATAGCAGGCAAAGTAATGCAGCTACAATTGTAGTTAAGAAATGATGTGTTTTCTATTTGGTACTTCTTTCTGTAACTGTAAATACCTGCTCTGAAATATTTATAAGACATATCTTATGCATATGAACTTAACGTACTGGGGAATCATGTTCTCACATGTCCCGAACATGTCTACTCTACTCAGTTTGCAGGAGAAGGGTTGTTTCTGCAGTCAGTTGCTCATTTTTAATTCTTGATTGAACGATGCTTGCAGGTTGTAGTGGATATTGGCTGTGGCACAGGCATTCTTTCTATATTCTGTGCTCAGGCTGGTGCAAAACGTGTAAGCTGTTTTTTCAGTGATATTTTATAAATTTGCATATAAGATATTGAACAAATTGTATGTTTTTAGCTGCAATAATTATCCTTTTGACATGGGGAAAAGTGTTCTTTGGAAGGATGGTCTGCATTTTATTTAACTGCAGGTTTATGTAGTGTCAAATCACTACTTCCATCTAATGATTCAAAATATGACGCAGCCATCTTTGCTCGTTCTCTTCAGTGTGATATCTGATGAATAAAATTGGACATTCCTCCCCTGATTTTATTGTTTGTAGTTTGGTTAAGTTACTTCTATGTTGTGTCCCATCCTGGTGTTATTTTACATTCTGTATTGCATATTCTTGTGTGTTTTGTTACAACCTACCAGGTATATGCAGTTGATGCAAGTGACATTGCAGTGCAGGTAAGTTCTTGTAGTAATGCTGATTACTTTATCTGCATGTGATTTAATTCTGTATTCATTCTTCTCAGTGTCTTTGCTTGAATGTAAAATGTCTCATTCCCCTTAAGCTATGATTCAGGAAGTAGCTGAGTAAAAATTACCCTTGTGTATCTGTAGCTTGAACTTTTGTGCATGATGTATCTGGAAAAAAAAAAGTTCATTCTCATGAAGATGAAATATGTAAGAAGTGAAGCTTAGGATTGGGTTTGTAATTTTGATTAATCTTGTTCATTTTTAAGCAGGCAAATGAAGTTGTGAAAGCAAACAATCTATCCGAAACCATCATCATACTACATGGGTGAGTTGAGGTATGCTTGCACAACCAGGAGGTCCAAGACAAGTTGTTGACTTTTCTTTTGGTTATTATAACAATTATGCTTACAAATTAAGAAGCTAGCATGAGATTCCTATGTTTCTTACGGGATGGACGCATTTAGTTCTTTGGTTGTGGCCTGTGAGTATGTGTAACTAATTGCGGCACTTACAGAAGCTAGTCCAGGGGAAAATTTTCCAAGAACAGTGTCCATTCAGCAACTCTACTCCGCTTGGATAAAAACAAAGTAGTTTGGGCGGGCATTTGTATATGCCAGTCTTTGTGTGCGTTAGTGTGAGAGTGAAAACGTGTCAATACTGCATTAGTGCTCCATCATCCACTAGATCCCCCGAAAAAAACCAAAGAACCTTTTCTGTATTATCATATAAGCTTCCTTTCCCCTTGCACCAAATTATTGATCTGAAATACAAGTTACAAGCCAACCATATCTATTGCTAAAAATGATAGTTCTGCAGGATGTCAATATTGACGGGGAGGTTGATGTTATAATTTCAGAATGGATGGGCTACATGCTTCTGTATGAGGTAGCTGTTAACATATCTGTATTCATGATTGTATAGTTAAATATTGTATTTAGAATTGTACCTCAGAATACTTATACTCGTGCTGTTTTATTGTTTGCAGCTTTATGATATATCCATTTCTTTTGTTGGCATGCTTGCTTTTTTTGTTTTTTATTGTAGAGTATCCCGGGAAGTGTGATCACAGCAAGAGATTGCTGGCTAAAACCCGGAGGTCTAATACTTCCTTCAAGTGCGACAGTATCGTTTCTTTTTGTTTTTCTGTCTTTCAGTTACTGTCACATCTGTATCTTTAATTCTGAAATCTGTTACTCTGGTGCTGGCTTCATATCATTGAATTGTCTGTCATGCCATATTTATTATGTGCCAGCTACATATGTTGCCAACTTGAGTGTTATCAATTTGTGTGGTGGGGATGTAGCGTTATCAAGCTCAAGTTTGTACAATGTAGCAGCTGTTGATGAATGAATTTGTTTCTGTCGTGCTGATTTTTAGGTTGTATGATTGCAGTTGTACATGGCACCCATCACACATTCTAATGGATACAGTGAATGCATAGATTTCTGGCGCAATGTTTATGGAATTGACAGTGAGTATACATCATATATAATAACATGATCTCAATTGTCATCGCCCTATATTGGATTTGTACCACATTAGATTATTTGAACTTATAACACACGGTGCATGCCTTGCCCGGAATTGGTTATTTATTGGGTCGTTGAAGACAATGCTTAATGCCATTTAACACTTTTCAATTAGTATTTTCAACCTTAGTCAAATTTTACCAGCATCTATGGGATTGTTGCTAGGGCATAGTTAGTAGTGGCACCCATTCTAAAGAGGAGCTCTTGAAAATATGTGAATGTAAAATATGCTGTAGGTGCAACTCCTACACTCCAGTGCAGGAGTTTTTTCGGGGAGTGCGACCCTTCTCACAAAACTGAAAATTGACTATCAAGAAGCTCACTTAAACTTTATGTTTTTTCACATTTTTTTTAAGCTTATGTTAAAGATAATCCTTACTTGAGCTTAGTATCAGCATTTATTTAAATACCATTCCATTTGTATACTCTATAAAAGTTTATTGCTTGGGGGTCATAATTATTTTCTTCCATTGGACTGTTTGCAGTGTCTGCCATGTTGCCATTGGCAAAACAGTGTGCGTTTGAAGAGCCATCTGTTGAGACGATTGTGGGTGAGAATGTTTTGACATGGCCACATGTGGTGAGTTCTCTCAGTATAGTTCTTATGGGTTGTCTTGATTATAATAACCTTTGCCACCAAATGACCATTTCCTTCTCTGCTTTCTTGTTTGTTTTGTTTCTTTCTTTGCTACCAAATAGATCAATCTTGAGCTACTTCTTTGACGTTATTGGCAGAGAACTGTTGGTTCCCTCTTGTTATGGCTACTGGATTCATTTATGCATGCTCTCCTTTTATAGATTTATTTTCCCCAGTCAAACAAAAAGTTTGATTTTGCTTGTGGTCCAATATTATTTATGATGCATGACTTTCTTTCTTCATTACCACTTTAAATGGAGGGTTCAGAACCTACAAAAAATAGTTAGGCTATTTTGTTCTTCTGAACATACTTCAGGAAGTTTTCACCTTGGAAAGGTTAATGGCTTGTTTGTTTACAGTGTCCTTCCTTTTTGTTTTCTTTTCTTATCCAAAATTAATATTAGAAAACAGAAAACAAGCTTTGGTCTTTTAAATTTCTACATTGGATAAGTTTGGATAGGATGCAATAGTTAAAGCTTTAGGAAAATTGGAAGAGTATGAAGGAAGATGTATTTGATTACCATTTACAGGTACTGTGGTAGAAGTCATCAATTCTCAATGCATGCTTTCTTATCCTGGTGAATATGCTTCATTCGAACAGCTTCTTAGATGTCTGTTTTGGGAAGTTGAGGTCATTAAAGAGGTGCTTGAGGTATTCTGTTTAAGCGGCCTTGTACCTCCATTTGATGCCCTTTATACCATGATCCTGAATCATTGTCTTTTTTGTTTGTCTCTACTCTGTAGAAAGTATGTAATCTAAGGCATCATGCTGTTACTGATTGGTTGTAGGTTAAGCATGTGGACTGCCATACAGTTATGCATCATGAGTTAGAATCTGTTACGACAAACTACAAGTTCAAATCAATGATGCGAGGTCTCTCTCTCTCTCTCTCTCTCTCTCTCTCTCTCTCATATGTCTCGGTTCTTCTGTCTCGTTATTGTTTTCACTGCATATTTTTTGTAACGTTAAATTTTTTGTGAGCGGGCTTGTGCATTGAATGAACTTTTTATTTTTGTTAGAGGAGGAAGTTCTTATTGTATTAATTTCATTTACTTCAGTAGACGCTGTTGAGGTTGTAATTAGTTCTTGATTTACAGCTCCACTTCATGGGTTTGCATTTTGGTCTGATGTCGAATTCTGTGGACCTACATTAGCTCCTACAAATAATCAGGCTCCATCCTTGCTTATAAACAATCTTCCAGTGGAGGGTCAGCAGAGGAAGAAACAAGCAAATCCCAATGAAGCGTTGGTGCTGTCCACCGCACCTGAGGACCCTCCAACTCATTGGCAACAGGTACAGACTACAGTATCTTGAAAATTTTTGAACTCGCACCTTTTGGCTAGCTAGCTAGGTGATAACATGCCTAGTTAAGGTTTTTTATGCTTAAAACATTATCAGTATAAAAAGGCATTCAGTTTTTTTCCTGGAAACAGAAATCATTCAGTGTCATCATAACTTGATAAGTATTGTGTAGTTATCCCCTTGCTCAGATCTTTCATTCATATTTTAGTGTGAACTTTTCTTCGGTCCGTCTAATGAATTAGCATTACAGAATGTGCTATACTTTTATGAGCCTATAGAGCTGGAGCAAGATCAACTCATTGAAGGTTGTGTAAATTACGACTATGCACAATTTGTTTCTCTCCATTCATACAAGTTTTCGGAAGTTGTCATGCCCTCCACGTTTTCTTCTTCTTTTATCTTCTCTCCGGAATTCCCTTCGTTCGGAAAAAAAAATTCGGCGGCTCTCTGCTCCCAGAAAGTCGTTATGTGATCTCTCTCTATTTTTTGGTTGAATGTAGGTTTTATTGTACTTTCATGATATAGTTTTTTTCTGTTTTTGGTGGTCTTGTTAATATTATATTTTGTTATAATCCACAACAGACAAGTGTTATAACGTATATGTGATGCTTTCAATAAACCTCTCACTTTTCAAACGCAAATTTGCTTACTTTACAATTTTGCACTTAAAACACTACTATTTTCAATATTTTGTTATTTTCATGGGACCTAGTGCGTGAATTTCATAGGAAATTTGGAAACAAAAGTTTGCGAGGACTTTAGATACTACCAGTTCACTATTATTGTGGTGTTCTAGTTCAATAATAAGATGTCATGTGAAACTTTTTTTAATATTACATTGAATTATGAGATTGAAACGTCAAATGACGGTGAACGCATTTCATATAAGTTGCCCTCAAAGCATAAAACTTGTATATGGGTACAAAATACCTGTTTCGCACTATTAATTCCTATATAGCTGAAAATTTTATAACTTTGAATTCCTAAATGTTTTAGGATTCCAACCTGATTTTAATTTTTGAGTTCAAAATTCCGAGGGTTTGACTCTAATTTTTTTTTTTTTTTTTTTTAACAGATGATAGTGTTAGTGCATTAAATTGTTAGTGTAAGGGGGAGAGGGATCGAACATGCACTAAAGTATATATATACAAAATTGTTTTTCGCCACTGCGATAAGCGTCATTTGCGTTTGACTCTCTAATTTGATTACATTTTTTTTGTTGAACAAACGATACCATCTAAGAGAGGGATTTGATTACATTTTTTTTAAACAAATGATATCATCTACAGCAAGGGAGAGAGAGTGGGTTTAATTTCATAATGGGCTAGCAATTACTAGGCATATCTTATATTGGAATTTTTTTTTTATTATTGTTTATTTTGGGTTTACTACTAGGTTTAGGAGACTTGGAGAGTAAGGCATTAAGTACGATTGGAGGAAGACGATAAAGGGAAAAATAAAATCAAATAAATATAGAAAAAGGAACCAAATCCAATAAGGAAAGGATTCACCGAAATTAATTTGCGGTGTGATTTACAAGCAATTAGGAAGAATATATTGTGTAAATTGTGTGTGGATGGTACGGCTCTCTCCTTTGTGGGAGAATTAACCCTAATTTTCTCCTGCTACTGCTAGTCTTCTCTTTTCTTGTGTGCAAGCAAGGCTTCTTAATTATATACTCTTTCTTGCTAATCAAACCCGTCTTTCAATCCGTACTGGTGCTGCTGCAGTTGCGACCTCTATCCAGAGACTTCAGAAAAGGTTGCAAGGACTCCGTGCATATATATATTATTGCTTGTGGAATTTTCTTAATTTACCTTTATTTTGCGTTCTTGAAACTCTAATTGACCATCTCTATATAATATATAGACATATTTATGTCTGTTGATATATAACACCATGAGTTAGTATCAGACCCTGTTGATAAAACTGTAACATACAGATTTATATTGCCTAGGGGGTGGGTAGGATTCCTTATTTCATAAGTATTGTAATTATTTGTAATTTAGGTTTCTTTTCTTCCAAGGAATCCTAATCCTTGAAGCCCGAGATTCGCGATGTACATAAAAAGGGGTTTACCATATGAATTATATCAATCCATTCAATTCAGTATTTTGGCAGGGAACCAAGTGGTCTACCTGACCTAACTGTATATGCCTTGTATCAATATACATTGTTACAAGTTTTCAAATTTGATTTGAATCCTATTTAGTGTGCATGTTTGTATGCTTAATCTTTAGTCAGTTTCCATCACTTTTGATTCCGTGGTTGGTAATTTGATGTTTGTTAGTTAGCTCAATTTCCTACTGCTTGAGTTGCAGCAGAGGCAGAGCTCATCGCGCGATTCTAATGAAAACATTGATGGATCAAAGGGAGGAGGCGTTGAGCTATGGTGGGGTTGTACTGAGAAGGTCTGACTTGGATCTGCTTAAAGGCCCGCATTTTTTGAATGATTGCCTCATTGAATTCTACTTCAACTATCTTTCCAATAATTCCCACCACCAGTTAGGCGATGATAAGCATCACTCATCCTTGTCGAAAGATGACATCCTTCTGGTTCCGCCTACGCTGTCATTTTGGCTGGCAAATTCCGAGGATTCCGAGAGTTTGAAGGAGTTTGAGGAGTCTAATGAGGTGCTCAAAAAGCAAGTTGTCATCTTCACGGTCAATAACAATCGGAACGTGGGAGAGAATGACGGCGGAACTCACTGGAGCTTGCTGGTATTTTACAGAAAATCAAACACATTTGTGCATTACGACAGCTTGGGGAGTATGAATCGTTCTGATGCCTGGAAACTCTATAAAGCAGTTAAGAAACATGTTGGAATGATTGAAACACCAGATAGCGCCTCTGCCTCTGCCTCGGCCTCTTCTGCTTCCACTACTATTACTAGCGAAGATCATCCATCATCTACCAGTAGTTCTAGTACCACTAGTCCACCCCCAAAAATGGACAGCTGCTGCATGAGATTTAGAGATGAGAGTAAAGGTAGTAAGAGGGCTAGGATGCTGATGATGCACAGGTATCCATATTATCATTACAATCGTTGGTTTACCCCTCCCCCTCCTCCGCCTCCTCCAGCAGGCCACAGTGACGATGAAATGGAACCAACAGATGCCGATGACAAAAAGAAACCAGCAGACGACAAGGCGCTAGGCGATGATGAAATGAGGCCAGCAGATGACGATTACAAAAAGAAGCCAGAAGAAGACAATGGCGATGATGAAATGCGACCAGCAGACGACGATGACACAAAGAAGCCAGCAGAAGACAATGGCGATGATGAAATGAGATCAGCAAACGAGAATGACAAAAAGAAGCCACCAGACGACAATGACGATGATGAGCAAATGTTCCACAACCCTTGGGGGTTAAATAATGATGACTACCCTTGGGGGTTACATCATGATGAAATGTTTCACCACTACCCTTATCGTTGGGTACACCATGATCATCATCTTGACTACTACAGTCGTCGTCAACTCTACTTGAACCATCATGGCGCACATACTAATGATGACTCGTCATCATCGTCTAGGTCTAGATGGGGGGTTGATAATATGAATGATGACCCTTGTTTTAAACAATTGCCAACGCCACGGCAGACCAACTACTATGATTGTGGTTTATATGTCATGGCCGTTGCTAGAGTCATCTGCCAATGGTACTATTGTGCCGCCGCTGCCTCCTCCTCTAGCCCTACTACTGCTAGTACTAGTACTACTAGCAGTAACAGTGCAGATGAAGAAGATAAGGTTGTTGTTGATGACAAGGGTAGTGCAGATGATCAGATACAAAGAAATGATGACGGTGATCGATTTCCAGATATCATGAAGCATATTGATACTTCTTTGGAATCCACGATGCGTTCTGAGCTGCTGGCCCTCATTCAACAACTCACTTGCCATTCTACTGGTTTTGAAGATTTTGATCATCAACCCCAGCCTCAGCCGAACCCGAGCCCAAATCCCGGCAGCCCCAGCCGGAGCCCGAGCCCAAGTCCCAGCAGGCCCAGCCCAAACCAATCATCAAAGAGCTAGAAAACTGATTAAAGCGAGAAAGCGCGACGCTGATCTTAATTTATTCGATATAGTTCCGAAAAGGATATTTTTTAATTTATTTTATTCCCACAGCACTTAGTAGCTAGCACTGAAACTTTGTTGGTTTTCTTTCTCAGTTCCAACAACCAACCAGCTGTTTAATTTGATGCATATATAATTAAGCTTATAAAAAATCTCTGTCGACAAGCTACCCTAGCTGGATTTGACTCATTAATTGTTAATATACAGGAATTACATGATCAGTTTTTGGTTATAAGTGCGTGCGTGTTCTCATTAAGTTGTATCTCTGCATGTTGTTATGTTCATCTTCCATGAAAAATAAGAAATGGAACTCAGAATTCACTTCTTAATTCATTTATGTGTGTGTGTATGTTGCATGTCAGTTACATTACATGTATAGACGAACGAGAAAAAATACAAAATCATATGTATTGCGATGCCATCGTCAATTTTCCATCCACATTAATTACAGAAACAGAATGATAAGAATATTATGTGGAGCAAGTGCATGTCTACGTGTTTCATAATATCAAGTGAGTGAGAGTCAGAGAGAAAAGAGATATAAGAGACAGAGACTACTTAATTAAAGAATGATAGAGACTTGCATTAATTTATTAAAAATAAGAACCACTTTTAGGTGCTATAATTGTACAATTATTGGAATGTCCGTCCATGGTGCTCTCATACCTTTAAATAATCTACTCCCAACTCATTCATTTTTTTATTTTCTGTGACGTTCCCACTTATTTTTGTTTCCTAATTTTCTATGCTATCACTTTGGTTGGTCTTTGTCGTATTAATTCATTATTTTCATTTGAATATATAATTAACCCTCCATGTATGTATCTTAATCTCTTTGGGAATCCGCAACCTCCCTCTGGATGGCATGGGATGGGATGGATGAAGCTATGGAAGTGGGATATCATCGATATTAGCTAGTGGAGAAATGCTAGTCGCTTCTGTCATTTATTTTTATAACATTACGTTTTGATTATTTTTTTTGTGATTTTAAATAAAGCCATATTATTGCTCTATATCAAGATTGATCTGTTTGATCGATCGAGGTAGATCTTTACATCAAAATGTTGATTGTCAACATATCCAAATCCATTGGAATTTCTAGCTATAACTCCAAAAGCAATTGAATATAAAAAATGCTACTCTTATCATATATTTGTACCATCATTTGTATTATCTCTTATTATCTCTAATATAGATGGACCCACATGCGTTCGTGGGTTCTTTATTAGAGAAATGATACAAATGATGGTAGAAATAGATGGTAAGTCTAGCATTACTCATTGAATATACTTTACTCGGTTATGAAATTATTATTATTGATGCTAGATTGCCCCTGCTAGTTCGGTTATGAAATTATTATTATTGATGCTAGATTGCCCCTGCTAGGCAGCTATCATCGATTGATTTTCTTTTTAGAGCGATGGTAGAGAGATCATCTTTTTAAACTATATATTTATAGATTACATGATATAATTGTATTGCTTATTTAATGAATTAAAGAAAAAATCCAACTATCAACCATTACACTATATAATCTACAAAATATAATTTTTCTAGTATTTTTTTCATTCAATTTATTCAAGTCTTATTAGATGAAATCATAGACTAAAAAGTATTCATTTAGCAAATTCTGCCAAAAGAGTGAGCTCAGCCACCATTATAGGGACAAAAAATTGGATTATAAGCAATCTTTGCTTTTAAACTAACAATGCACTCATTGACGGAGAAAGGTGGTGGCGATTTTATATTAGTTTTCATACACTAATATTCTTTATCCTACGTTAATTTCACTTCAATTAAATGTTAAACCAATTGCTCCAAAAAAAAAAAAAAAAAAAAAAAAAAGCTCTACTTTTCTAAGGTACGTACGTACCTATTGATCGTACATGTATGCAAATAACAAAATTAAGCTGAGCTATTGAAAGTTGAAACTAAATGCCTTGTCAAGCTTGCATGCCGTTCAAATGAACCATATGTATTTGTCTGTGGGAATTAGGGTTTACGGTTGCATACAACTCTCTCTCTCTCTCTCTCTCTCTCTCTCTCTCTCTCTCTCTCTCAGAATCTACATTTTGGGGGTCCCAATATTAAATACAAATTTTTTAGATAGGAACAAAGCGCGAAACGAGTAAAAGAAAAATCTGTATATTTACTTGATAGGTTTGTTGTGTACATGTTAACAGATATCAACATATATATGTCAAAGTAATCTAATGAGTGATATAGAAAGAACTCATTGAGTGATGTTGACGTAAAATGTCTAGATATGCCTAGTATGCATTTCATCGAATATTGAATAAGCACAAAATAAACTCATACCAAATATTGACGCTCAAATGAATATTTTCCAGACTCAATTGATTATGGGACAACCTTGGTTCCTATTTCCCTCTGCCCCTGATTGTTTGTGCATCCATGCTTGTTAATTGTGCGATGGAAAAGTATATGGGTAGGCTTGTCCTTCTGTGCATGGGCCCTGGCCCTGTGGGATCTGGATGAAGTACTCAACAACGTACTCATGCGCGCATGTTGATCATGTTGTGCAATCATCTTATGCGCGCGCGCGCCCGCGCCCGCGCCCCCACACACACACAGATATGGGCAAACTGTCTGACAAATAATGTGCTCGGAATGCAAGTAGGGTATGCTATATGTTATTATATAAGTGAAGGAATTTTTTATTTTTTTTCAAGTCTTCCTCCATTTGTATAATGACATATGACGTATGTATCCGTGTTCAAGATAGATTGAAAATTCTCTCTCGTTTGTACCCTTGAACTATTATCACAGTTGAAAACGATCCCTGAACTATTTTTTGGAAAATTAACCTCTCAAACTATTTGAAAGTAGTCAATTAACCTATCACCGTTAGATTCGGTAAAACTTCATCTATTTTGCCGTCAAATATTAACATGGCTTTACATTCAAGAGTGAATCACTTTGATTCGATAAATACTAGCATGTCAGATTTGATAAATATTGTATTGTGGATGATAATGACTTCCTTTTAAAGCATGCGTCTAAAGTTTATAATCGAAAAGTGTTTGAAAGGTTGAAGGAAGAATGGATAAATGTCAAACGGGCTCAAAGTTGAAGAAAGGGGAAGTGACAATTAATTTCCTATGTATGTGGTCATGAAAAAAAATTGGTGATGTTGAGAGATTTTTAGTTAAGTTCAATCTACAAACCTATGAGGGCACATACGAGTGTCAAAAATTTTAGTTCGTTGGAACTCTTTGTCAACATATTATTAAAATTCTTATTCATCTAGACATTGATGTCATACAATCCCACTATAGAAAGATGGAAGCAAGGAGCAAACAAGTTTAGGGTTATGGTGGAACAAGCAGAGGCATTGAGACTTAGCCATATGTGTCGTAGAGCTATTAAATAAGCTTGTTGTGCATCGTCTTCAAATGAGGCATACACAATTTACATGGAAGCTTTAAATGAACACAAATTACATGACAATTCAAAAAACATGAACACAGAAACTTTCAATTCGGCTTTCTATAACCTACGATTCCATGCGCCAGCTTTAATCTTCCATCAAGAGTCGATACTAATTCTTCGACTGAGATGCAAAAACTTTACGCAAGAACAAAGTACATGGGTTTGGATTTCAGTTTATGATCATCTTGTTAAGGAAGTCAACTTTCTCAGAAAAGTATTCCATCAATTCATCCTTGGTTACCTAGACAAAATCCTCGCACTTCCCAATGCCAAACGTTGATTGCAATTGTAATCACTTCACACTTGAAAAAATTTCAAGAATTGTTGAAAAAATTGGGTGGGGGAAATGAAATTGTGATTAATACACATGATCGACAAGCAACGCCAAAATACATTTTAACATTTGTCGTGGGTTTCACTTTTTATTTTATTTTAAATACATTGCAAACTGGATTGTTGATAAATTTGTGGCTGTAGGAATCTCAAACAAGCTTGGCTTGATAGGGTTTTGCTATGGAGGTAGCGAAGTGTGAATGAGTTGCAGGAAGAATTTATATCCAAGGGGAATTGGAGACATCATCGGCAAAAGACGGGAAGTATTTTTTCAGGTTTTAGTTTATTTTTTTATGTTGGATATTCCAACATTTGATTTTTTTTTTCTTTTTTCTTTTTTGGTCCCTTAATCCTATTTCATTATAAGAGATAAGCTCTACATCACTCATAATCAAGACTATTGGATATTGTACTAGAACATGTATTCAGTGTTTGTGTTAAAAGAAAGAAACATAATATAATAGTGCCTACTTATTTTAACACTACTGAGTACATTATATATCATAGAAATTTTGTTGTTTATAATAATACACATTCTATCACACTTTTAAACCTCCAATGGTGTCTATCTAAAGCTTATGGAAAAGGCTAACTATATATATAAGGAAAATAAATATTTGTAGCAAGATACACTTAATTGTGATCATGCATCTTTGTTGTGAAAGTGTTATCTCTCGCAATACAATATTCTATTATTTGTCAAAAATAAAAAACAGAATTGTTTTCTCATTTAATTTTTAATTTTTTTTCCATCATTTTCCCTTCTTTTTCTGAAAAAATGTTTATATCTATATCTTATATGTGCGTGAATGATATCCGTCCAACATTATTGGCATAACATGGACACAAAATAAGCTAGAATATGTTAGTCTAATATGAAACTCTCAATAAATGAGAAAACTTGAGTCCATAGATGGAATGATATGATACAACTTTATATCACACTAAAGGTTGCTTATATAGGGCCCCTTAGCCACGCACCATTTACAAATAGGAAACAGATTAAAGAAGTAACAAAACACGGAAAACACTTAAAATTTTTAACGTCTCGTTTTGGACTAGTAAACAATGGAATTCGGCCAAAGTTGTCACTACATCATGACAAAACGGTGAGCCTTCTTTGCGTTGCCGTTCTCTTTGAAACGGTGGGTCACAAACCAAATCAAACACCGAAACCCAAATCTTTATATATACTACAATGCTTGAGCTTTGCTGTGGATTTTACGCATTCTTAAACTTCCATTCGATCGTCTCAGCCGTCTATTATACATCAATTACAACTTGATGGATGGCATCCTGTGGTGAAGCTGTCACTCAATTAATCCAAAAGGAAAAAGAACTGAGAAAGTAAAGTTGAAGAAACGTCGCTATAGCTACCAGCTAACCTAGAACATGAGTCAAGATAGTAGACTTCCCTCTCATGTCATCAATTAAT